TTTGTTTTACTGTCATTTTGAGATCTTGCTTTTCGGCATTTATTTAGTTTGGCTAGCGCAGGTTTCTTTCCTGTAAATACTTAAATCTATATGTCATATCATGCAGAGATAATGGAAATTTTGTATAAATCCTAGATCCAGAGCTGCCTAACGTTGCAAGAAAAGGTAATAGATACTGCGGATGGGAAAAGAACATAGATGACAATTTTCTATACCCATGTCAACTAGTGTTCGAAGCAAAACTAACGTTCTAGATTTTTCATCATGTATATGAGGGTCTGGATGGGGTTTACAGAATAAAGGGAAAAAAAAAAAGACTAGGGAAAAATAGACCATAAAGAATAGAGAATTAAGGGTCACTCTGTGCTAATTTATAAATAATAGAGAATAATGGGCAAAATTTATTAAGAATAGAGATCCTTGTATATATGTTCAAAGAAAATCAGCATACAGTAATAATGCATTGCAATTACGTTACGTTCACAACTTCTTTGTTTTTAAATTAATCTACAAATTATATATTATAGAATTATTTTGAATCAAGGAGTTCAGTAGACAGTAGTACAATATTAAAACCCTCATTAAGTAGGTATGAAGACAAGCTTTTGTTTTTGAAACTTCCCACATGAGGCGTTTGCCATAATGTAGTTGCAGCCTTGTAATAAAAGGGAGGTAAATGTTCCTGAGACAATATACCTCAAGTTAAATGAAACCCATTTTCAGACATTTCAAATACATTTATATTTATACATTGTATTCTTAAAAGATTTGGAAAGTTTTTCCCGAAAAAAATATGAAAAAATGTGGATTGTGTCCACATGTGGACACAGATGATGCCCCCGCTTGCATATCATATAGTTATAAAGGGACATTACTGAAGAACGGTAAAAGTGACGCTATCCAAATTTGAACTTGATCTGAGTTTTGTGGTAATAAGCATTGTGTGTAAGTCTTCTTACATTTGGTTGAGGCAAACTTAAGTTAGAGAACGGAAACGAAAAATTTAGCAAGCAATTTTACCATTTATAAAGGAGCATAACTCTAGAACAGTAAAAGTGACGCCACCAAAATTCAAACTTGGTCTGTATTTAGTGGTAATAAGCATTGTGTATAAGTTTCATAACATTTGGTTGAGGCAAACTATTAAAAGTTAGAGAACGGAAACCAACTTTGGGACGGACGTACAGACGGACATGGGTAAAACTTAATGCCCCCTTCACTACGGCGGGGGCATAAAAAGACGATTTTTGGGAGAATCTGGTGCCATCTCATACTTAAGAATAGCATTTATTATAAAATGGCTTAAAAGACCTGCCGACTTATTTATTTTCAATACATCGTAAGTCAGGTTATTTATTTTCAAACTACACCAGAACAAACCATTTACTTTTGTTATTATCAACGCTGAGTTATTTTTTTTTCAAAATCCTCCTTGCCCCTCCCCCCAAAATTTCAAATGATCGTCCCCTAACTAACAGGACTATGTCCTGTTTTGACTGATAAAAAATAAAATAGTTAAAGAAGACGTATCATCGTTTATTTGGAAAAGGATTATATTTTAGATTCCGGTAAATCAATTGTAAAAGGACCTGATAGAGCCTCAATATTAAGGCACAAAAATGTACATCATTACATAGCAAATTTAAAACCTGAATGATTTTTCCCACGGTCGTTCATAAAGGTCACATGAGTTTAATGTTACGTGAAATTTCCCGCCATAAAAATCTCGTGCCGTGGACAAAATTGATGTCGGCTATTTTTAGCATTCAATATAGTGAGCGAAGTCAAGTTCAAGTTCAAGTTCAACCACATGCTGGAGATGTGTATCGTGGAATTGTCTTCCCACGGCAAATTATTTTTTTAAAATTGTCCAAAATACAACACACAAAGATTACATTCATTGTGCGTAAATTAATATTATTTATGCAGCGACGAGTTAATGCAGCAACCTAAAAGCACGATATTGCATAGGTTATGACGTTCCCCTGCTCGTAAGAAAGAGCAAATTTTAATTATTAATTTGATTAGAAAAGATCGCCCGGACCTAATTCTCATTCATTCATTCAATGTATACCCATCGAATGACAAATATGTCACGCGTAGACCACGTATTTGTGTACCAAGGTTGATTTAGTTACATGTATGGAAGTATTCCTGTTGTAGCCGAAATGTATTAAATATCCTAAAGTAATGCCAACAAATCGTAATAAGAAAATGCCGTAGACTTAAACATAGTGAATGGTGAATAATTTGGGTATTTTTTATTTGCATATACAAAACATTGAGACACGTAATTTTCTTTAAACTGATCACATTTATTAAGTGGTAGTTTACGATTATTTTTACACAAGTATGTCCCTTTTCGTAAATAAAATATCATTTTACCGGTGAGAAAAAAAAACCGAGGTATTTTTTTTTTTTTTTTATAAATCTATTTAATGCAATTGAAGGAATTAACAACAACATTTTGCTTTTAAATCTTTTATTTGTGTCAAGCAATTAGATATATAACCTGATTATAAATAGACAGGAAATACAATTGTTTAATTACATAAGAAATTTCAAATACCCTGACTGTCGCGTGCTGGCATAGATCAAGAGGATTAGGGCAATTAATTACCTGATGTGACACTGTGCTGGGAGAGATGTCGCTAATGAAATAAACAAAGTAGCGGAAGTCGGAGGGAATTTAGGGAGGATTATTGGAGTTTCCTGGTGTCACACCGAGAATAATTGTGGTGTATGGAGTTTGGGAACATATTTGATTTACTTGTACTGTAATGCTCTTTGTGTGGTAGGAACATACCTTTAACTATTTTATATGAAATGTTGTCTTTGCAAATTCATCTCTATATTTATATTCTGTACACCGTATTTATTACGTATGTAGTGTATATTATACGTACTTATTATTTGGATTTAATTACCGAAAAGTAAGGAGAGGAGAGAGAAAAGAAAAAAACTATTCTTATTCCAACTCTGCCCGCACCTCCATCTGACACCCTCTGACTTCCGCTTTCCTCCATCCGACACTCTCTTCCCGACCCCTCATTCTCACTTTCCTGTACGTTACAGTACCCCTGTCCACCCCCTCGATTATTAAATAATGTGGTTTGCTGGTGATTGTAAAAGGAAAAGCGCTCCCGGCCAACAAAATATATTTTATCAACAAAATAAAATATCTAAAATTGCCATGAAGATGGTAAACATTAAAGTGGACATTATTTTAGATAAATATGTTATCCTGAAATATATTGATCAGGTATTTCCTGCCATGATCGAATATTTAGTTCGTTTCACGAACAAAGGGCTGAGCCTGTAGCTTTTACTATTTATTATACCTTGTTTATTGTTAGCAATTTACCAAAATCGATTGCAACTTTATTACTCTGCACGCCTATCTGAATGGGAGACCTTTACATTACAAATAAATGCAACAAAGACATTGGATAATGTCCTGTTAGTACTCGTATATATTGAGTAAATCCGGGAACAGTATATATATTTATATATGAGAGACATAGGTATTAGTATATAAGCCAGGTTAAAATTAAATAGTAATATCACCAGAAATGCATTTAATAAATTCTAGTATGGTCATCATATTATTACAAAAATAAATATCAGGTGCCTGTTAAGTGTGTTCATACCAATCAATATTCCTATAATTAAGTCCTTCCTATTTATAACCTGGGACATACTTAACGATTCATGTTTATATATAATTATAATAATAAATTATAACTATTAAAACATATGCAATAATTAAAATAATCAACACCCAGCCAAACAAATTGACTTTATATGAGACACTGTATATAGAATGAATAGGCTACTGACAAGTGACAAAAATAGAAATAAAACTCAAAGTTAAACCAGAGACTTATGCTGACCATTGTTACAGTTGTCAATCTCTGTGTATATATATATATGTCTCTGGTTAAACACATTTTCCAATTTGAACCTTTAACTTGATTGCATTCATTTCCGTATTTTCCAATTTGAACCTTTAATTTATTTGCATTTATTTCCGTATTTTCTAATTTGAACCTTTAACTTAATAAACCACTTCCATTCATAAATATTTGCAGTTGTGTATTGCAAAGGTACCACGTGTATTCATCGTGTACATTGGTCGTATTAAAATAGATTTTTATTATTGACCAATGAAAAAATTCGATATTTAATTCATCAGAAAAGCCATGCTTAAAAGCGTTTCGTATTTGTATTTCGATCTTTCCCCTTAATTTGAAACCTGCAACACTGATAAAAGAATCCAAGAAAAAAAATGTAGACTAATCATCTAATCCAGCGACATTTTATATTATAAGTCTCAGTCTACTCCTTAGTTCTATACTATCTGTTTCTGTCTTCAGGTAACTATATTTTCAAATACATCGTAAATAAGATGGTTATTTTTAACAGATTCTGATTTGCATTGATTATATATATCTGTTCTACATTTTAACGATGTATTTATAACCGTCGCTCACGCTTCACTGGTTCTATTGATGACTCAATACACATCAGTTTTATCGGACAAACAGCTAATTCCCGTCGACACGATAAATCATGTGTATTAACTGAAACACTTTTAAAAATACTATAGCTTATGTTAAATAATACACACGTCGTTCGCGCGAGTTATTAAAGGGACATCGTTATCTAAGAGTATGAGAGGGATTACGGCAAACATCTAAAACGCCGGACGAAAGTCTAAAAATACAGCAAACGTCTAAAGTCAGAGGAGGACGTCTATTTCTGTGTCAAACATCTATAATTACGAATTATGGTTATTTATTAACCATAATCTGGCGTTCTTGCCATTAATCGGGCACTATAACCATATGGCTTTCCTAGTGATATCATAGGGAACTGTGTACTAAGTTTCAAGTTGATTAGACTTCAACTTCATCAAAAACTTTAACCTGAAGTGGGACAGACAGACAAACAGACCAAAAAACATAATGCCCCTAGGTGGGGCAAACAAATTTACTTACCTTTGAGCATGTGTATGCATTCTAGATGATAATTCTTGAACCAATGGAATAATAGCCTGTATAGGTAACTTCCGCACAGTATTTTGTACAACTTTTTCTGAAGCTTGCATCAGCACGTTCTAAAATTACAAAAAATACTTTGTAGTTTTAAAATAGAATAGGATTTAACTGCTGGATAGCTTACTGTCCAGTGGAAAATGTATCATGGATGATCAGATGGTAACAAATTAACAATCAATAGGCCACTCTCTATCATGGATGATCAGATGGTAACAAATTAACAATCAATAGGCCACTCTCTATCATGGATGATCAGATGGTAACAAATTAACAATCAATAGGCCACTCTCTATCATGGATGATCAGATGGTAACAAATTAACAATCAATAGGCCACTCTCTATCATGGATGATCAGATGGTAACAAATTAACAATCAATAGGCCACTCTCTATCATGGATGATCAGATGGTAACAAATTAACAATCAATAGGCCACTCTCTATCATGGATGATCAGATGGTAACAAATTAACAATCAATAGGCCACTCTCTATCATGGATGATCAGATGGTAACAAATTAACAATCAATAGGCCACTCTCTATCATGGATGATCAGATGGTAACAAATTAACAATCAATAGGCCACTCTGTATCATGGATGATCAGATGGTAACAAATTAACAATCAATAGGCCACTCTGTATCATGGATGATCAGATGGTAACAAATTAACAATCAATAGGCCACTCTGTATCATGGATGATCAGATGGTAACAAATTAATAATCAATAGGCCACTCTGTATCATGGATGATCAGATGGTAACAAATTAACAATCAATAGGCCACTCTGTATCATGGATGATCAGATGGTAACAAATTAACAATCAATAGGCCACTCTGTATCATGGATGATCAGATGGTAACAAATTAACAATCAATAGGCCACTCTCAAGGAAATGTTGCAAAGGTTTTTTAACATGCAGAGCATGGCTTTTACTCTACATAAGGCATTAGAGTAACTGTCCAAATTCTGACAGGATGAGTATTTATATTTACATATGCCATTATATGGCCAAAATAAAGCTCCAGTGTTTTAATTTTGGTTGTACTTTTGATAAAAGTTAACCTACTTCACAGCAATCTATTTTTCATAGTTTTCTTTGTTCATGTATGTGTATAAGATATAATCAGATTTTGACATATTCAGGGGGATCTATATTTGAACCATTTTTCTACTTTGAATCATGTAAATTAATGGCTCATGAAAATAATCTAGTTTATAGTATTTCTACATGTTTCTTTTTTACCTGGACTGCATAACTGGCCTTAAAAGACCTTTATTCAATGATGAAAGATCCTAAAAAGTTAAAACAAACCACGAGGTCAGCTACAACTAAACTTATATACTTACATTTATCAATTTTTTATCTTGACTCTGTAATCCCTGTGTTAACAGTCTGGCTAACGTGTCAGCCTGGGGTGGTTCTCTTGTAGGGTGACTAGGATGATCTACACTTATAGCGTTCAATCTTTCTTCCATACTCATCTGTAATAGAAACATAAACATGTTTTTCTTGTGGAGTGATTTGAGCATGATTAAATTCAAGTGTCATATGCATACAAATATCATACTATATTAGACAAATTGTATTCTTTCTGAGACACCAGGAAATGGTCACCATCTTTCATTGTGTCCCGGAATTCTGTAAAACCAGACTATAAGGAAATTTGAGATATTGGCAAATTGGCAATGAATTAAAGAAAACAATAAAAAAAATTTAAATTCATAAAAGCTTTTTTCTTGGAACTTTTCCCTGTGATGGATCAGGGACCAGTCCTGATAGATGATACTTACATCTGTAATTGAGGGTTTTCTTTTGGACCGTCTTCCTGGTTCCTGTGAAGGACCACTGGGTGCCATAAGACCAGGTACTAAAACTGTAGAATCTTTGGAAACATCTGGAGTTTGTATCTGGTTAAGGAAGAGAAATCATTAGTATTAGTAACAGTAGTTACTCAAATATTAAGAGTACAATGTAAACATTTAAAACATATAGATTAACTAACTGTATACAGATCATATTTCATTTTATTATACAGTTGTAATAAATTATTGTTTGCTTTTTTATAATGAAACTTTACAAATGTCTAATGTCATTGGAGGTTTGAGTAATCAAACATGTAAATAAAGGTCACCCTCCAGACGAGAGAATGCTGACCTAATAAGAGTGGTGACCTTTGAATCGAGGTTAGGGCTATTCCAGAAAAAAATGTATGGGGGGGTTGGAAGGCACTTTATATTAATAATACTTGGGTGATGGGTATCAGAGCAACTTTTCACACTATAATGCACTATGATTCTCAATTACAATTGTCTGGGTTGTGGGTGCTGACAAAAACTGCCTTCCAACCCCCCCATACATTTTTTTCTGGAATAGCCCTTAAAAAAAAAGCAAATGTATTACAATAGCATAAGAAAAGTGACCCGACAGGTTTTTGCTTAAATGTGGGTGACCTTTAACACAGGTTTGATTGCACTGTAAAGTCTCATGGTTGTAGCTCTCAATGTTTATATACATCTTAGGCTTTCCATATAATGACTGAGTATTCCTGAAGAGGGTGAATTCAGAAAAGTAGAAAAGCAAGAAACAGAAAATTCTGTATGTTATAACTTACCTTTGACAAACTTCTATCTGTTTGTAGTGAGAATTTCCTGGGATCTTCTCTGATTAAACACTGTACTGGATCAGCAGAATTATATCGCTGTAAATAATAAAAGTTATAGTTAAATGGTAAGTTATTTGACAAGTCATACGTTTTACTGTTTTGACAAAATTGAGTATTTAAGCACATGTGTAAAGGTTGATTAAGCATGGATTTTCTTGCTACTAAAATTATGCAACTTTGTATGAAACTTTTGTGGTTTACTGCCAATTACTGGATTGCACTGCAAAACAAAATGGCATGTTCCATATAAAAGGGAGAATATACTTGCAATTTTAAGGAGAATCACTCGGTATTAAAAAAGATTTTAGATTTCAGTGTTGCTTGCTAAATGAATGCAGACAAGGTTTTGTGTTTGAAGGTGTCTAGCTAAGTTTTATATTGTTGTATGAACTATCAATTCACTTATATTCAAAATTTTCAAGACCTTGTTGAACAGGATAAGGTTATTTTATATCATGAAATTATTTTCTTATTCTATTTTATAAACTGATAGAAATGAAATTTTAGTTCTTAAACTACAACCAGCAAGGAAGATAACACATATTAAACTTAAACTTGAGTGCGATATTACTTACCACTCTTTCAAATGTAGGTTTGAGGAAGTTTCCATGTACAATAAGAATATCTTGATCACAAATCTGAGCTGCCAGTATAGGTATAGGTAATGGTAAGCTGTCCTTTGTACCTGATGTCGATACTTGTAGGAGAACTTTAGGTTTTAATGGCTTTTTTAATCTCCTGGAAGAAAACCAATGAAACAATGGTTCAAATTACTTTATTTTACTTTTTATCAGAAGCTTGCTCTCAGTTACTGGGATTTATTGATACAGTATTTTCTAGAATTCTAATATTGTTTTGCTTCTACTTGAGTTTTTGTTATTTGTTATTGTCAATTATCCCAGCTTTACAGAGTCAAGTGCTTTTCCTGTCCTCTTGTGCTGTGTTTAGAGACCTCTAAAGTCGGTATATCTTTACTATATTACTCATTACTACTATACATTTTTTTACAACCTTTATTCCAATGTACAAGATTAAGCAGAAGTTCGTTGATGGATGTTCCTATCTCAGTTATTTTTATATTCTGTAATATGTTTATGGTCGAGTTCAGAACAGTATCAGTTGTTGTCTCGAAGTTACGTGACAGATCTTTCAATAGTCTCTGTTTTAATTTTATTCACACCTTTCATAGTCTAGAAGCTATTCAGAGCTTGCTATCTTATATACACACTTGTCTTTTTGGTTTTTTTGAGTTGTTGGGTTGGTTTTTCACCAACACATACCTGGCATCTCCTTTTATTTATATGATCTGACAATAATGGAAATTGTTTGCTAACAGTAATCACTATATATGCTATCAATAGTTTATATTAATATTCATACAGGATGGTCATCATCTTAAGGTGGTACCTAACACTACAAGGAGATAACTCAAGTAAAAGGGAGTAAAATCAGCTAAACGTTTTAATTACGTTGTGTTGTTAAGGGAATATTAAGCTTCTCAATGATCAAAGTTAGTGTTTGTCAAACTGCTATATAACCAGTCTAATTTTTCTGATAAATTGGTTGGTTCAAATTTTTTGAAATTTTTATATTTTTGTCCAAGGGTCAAAGTAAATACTTTGTCAAAATTTTATGAAAATTAAACGAGCCAAATTAATTTATTAATCAATTTTAGTGAAGGTGTTGGGTACCACCTTAAGTTTCCACGTCTGTATTGGTGTAAAGTGCGTAGCCAACTACAACTTTAAAGCTTTCAATCAAGAGTTCAGTAGATTGGAGAAGTTTTAATTAAAGCATTCCAAAGCCTTACCCATTTAATTTGTGCTCAAATATTACAACCTGGCCACTTCTTGTTACAGCACACAACATTACAACCTGCAAATGTATAACAAATTATAAGTATGTAAGAATAAACAGTATACCAAATTGAGCCTTGAATTGTCTGCTGTGTTAAACTCCAATACTAAAATTAAAAGGTATAGGTGCTATAGGGCACTTTAAGCAAGATATAAAGGAAAAGCTCGATTTTGTGATGTTTGTTCTTGAAATTGTAGAGGGTACTCTTATTTCTTTTCAAATACTCTAATAGTTTAAATAATTCAATTCAATATGCACTTTTATTTAAAAAATCTAAAATTTACTGATTAATATAAAAAATAACTGCTTCATTACAAATGTCTTCCGTTTAGACTTTAGCATTTAATAACAATGTACAAACTACAAAATGTAATCAGTTAATTGTTCAGATTTGACGTTTTATACTGCTGGATGTGTTACGATTTAACTTAAGGTCCTTCAAGCTTGAAAGTTATGAATAATTGAACAATATTAAACTAAAGGACGGCACTGTTTTACTTTCAAAGTCCTATTCTTCATTAATATCTATCAAGTACTGAATTTCAAATGAGTAGGTTTGTGTATGCGTGTGTGTGAACTCATATAACTAAGAGGCCTCTTATTTTGAGAAGATATCTACTGTACCTGTTCTGTTGACTGCTGACAAACATCTAATAATGTTGGTTCTTCAGGCAGTGAAAATGAAGTAATTGAGTTCTTATCAGAGGATGATGTGTTTATTTGCCTGGAATCAAACGTAAAATATTTAACCAGTAAGCTATATTAAAAGCCTTGGAAAGGATTTATAAAACAAAAATTGATATGCAATACATTATAAATAAATGGGGAATGTGTCCATTGGACACAGATGATGCCCCCGCTTCCATATAATGTTATAAAGGGACATAACTCAAGAACTGTAAAAGTGACGCTACCCAAATTTGTACTTGATCTCAGTTTTGTGGTAATAAGCATTGTGTATACGTTTCATAACATTTAATTGAGGCAAACTTAAGTAAGAGTTAAAGAGAACGGAAATGAAAAATCCAGCAATTTTTCCATTTGTTAAGGGGCATCACTCTAGAACAGTAAAAATAAAACCACCAAACTTCGAACATGATCTGTGTTTTGTGGTAATTAGCATTGTGCAAAAGTTTCATAACATTTAGTTGAGGCAAAATAAAGTTAGAGAACGGAAACGAAAAATTTCAGCAATTTTTTCATTTGTAAAGGGGCATAACTCTAGAACGGTTAATGTGACACCACTAAAATTCAAACTTGATCTGTGTTTGGAGGTAATAAGCATTGTGTATATGTTTCATAACATTTAGTTGAGGCAAACTTAAGTCAAAGAACGGAAACAGAAAATTCAGCAATATTTCCATTTGTAGAGGGGCATAACTCTAGAATGGTAAAAGTGACACAATCAAAATTTAAACTCAATCTGTGTATTAAGGTAATTAGCATTGTGTATAAGTTTCATAACATTTGGTTGAGGCAAACTTAAGTTAGAGAATAGAAACAAAAAAATTTAGCAATTTTTCCATTTGTAAAGGAGCATAACTCTAGAACGGTAAAAGTGACGCCACCAAAATTCAAACTCAGTCTGTGTTTTGTGTTAATAAGCATTGTGTATAAGTTTCATAAGATTTGGTTGAGGCAGATTAGAGAACGGAAACCAATTTTGGGATGTACGGACATACAGACGGACAAGGGTAAAACTTAATGCCCCCAATGCTACGGCGGGGGCATAATGATTATCAAAATCAACTCTAACTGGTGTTTGGGGCCATCTTTATCCCGCAGCTAGGTTCTAACTTTTGCTTTGTGATAAAGAACATACAGTGAGATGAAGAACGACAATAAAAATGTTGATTCTTTGCTTAGGATATTAACAGGTGTGTTTAGGAAGTTTGTGGTATGAATTATTTTTACATTATCCCTTCTCTCCATGTTCATCAAAATTAAATTATTATGCATGTCTTATTAGCATTTGTTATTTTATATAAAATTCATATCGTTTTAAAAACCTATCGTAATATGCAAAATTAAAACTTGTATACACACCATGCATTAATGATTCTATCATTCTGAGCTGCCGTTAAAAAATACATATTTTCTGGTGAATCTGACGAATCTGCTGAAAGTGGTAAAGGAAGGAGACGGAAAATTTCTGTTTTATGACCAGTAAATGTCTGAAAGAGAAAACAAAAGGATTAAAAATGAAACTACATTTTTCATGTGCTAGTTCACAAGGTAACAGTCCAGAGGATCACATGTCACCCTACCCTGACATCTTTACTGACACAGAGCTGGCAAGTCTTTGCTCATTGTACTAAATGCAGCGAGCTTATGGAGAAGCATCAAATACAAATTTTCTTTGGCTTGACCCGTTCAGGGTGGATTTTCGATCCCATACAGATTATTTAATAGACTACAAGACTCATCTAGTATTTTCAGGGAAAGAAAATTTTGTGAATTGGTGTCCAATGTTTACAGAGGATACAAAATGAGCAAGGGGCAAACAAAATTCCAAAATGGACCATTTCAGTTATTTGATAGGGTGATTGAGATCGAAAGTAGATTTCCTAAAATTACAAAAATAGATCAGTTACTCAACAACATTTTATCGATTTGATAAAATGTGTACTTACAGCGTCTTAAAGGTTCAAGAACGCATAGTTGTCATGTTATTGGGTTCTCCTTTCAATGAATTAATTTGACAAATGGATTGGAATTTTAGATTTTTATTACATAGTCATGCAAAAAGCAGCTTATCTCGAGCTCTAGATAATTTCCATTTCAAGGCAAAAAACATGTGATAAATGATGAAATTAATATTATAAGGATTGAATAATGTACATATGAACATAGACAGCAGCTTAAACATGTCAAGCAATTTAAATGCACAATCTTTTTAATCCAATTTGGTTTTAAGTTATTTAAAGAATTTTTGTTCCATTTCCTGCCCAATATTACCTTTAACAATTCTTTATTTTCTATATTCCACAGTTTAATTGATCTACCAGCAGTTAACAAATGATTGGAGGAACAAAGACACATTGAATGGACACTTCCTTTATCTGCTTTCCACTTGCTGAAAAAATAATAAATTTGTTGGCAAATGAAATCATAAACCATATAAAAGTCTGTCTTATTCTTACTAAATATTACAAATACGAAATATTCATAGATTTTTTTCATTAATTAAGACATACAAGAATGCACAAGTTGTAGGGCTAAGCATAAACCACTTATAACCAAAGTATTAGAAAACAGGAAATATATGTTTCGGACAGATATAACAAAATAACAGTAAAAGGTTACACCTCATCATTATTGAGATGCTGACCAAATATGAAGTCATTCTGCTTAGTACTTTCTGAGAAAAATGTAATGTTTTTTTTTTTAGTTCATTCACCATATTGAAAATTCAAAGTATGGGCCAATTAGTGTAGGTATCTGACCAGTCTGAAAAATGCTTACACATTACAACTCATCACTGTCAAGATGCTGACCAAATATTTGTTGGATAAACAGACGGACAAAGTGACAGCAATTAAGCTCCAAGTTCTAAAGTATCGCTATAAAAATTTCATGCGTCCAAGGCACTTTTCTGAATTCAACCTTCATCCAAAACCCTCAAAGCCCAATATCTGAAAGCAAAGTATGTTGAAGAGCTCTATAACCAAAATGTACTTAGAAATATCAGCCAATTATAATAGTTCTTTGGTGTAAACAAATCCTATATTAAACATTGGAAAGATTTATTTTCCAAATAAAAGTGTCCTTTCAAACAATAGGTACTTTTCAGAATTAGATTGAAACATTTAAGAATGACATGCATTCTGTGAGTATTGCATGGCAATACATAGTCCCCTACCGGTTAAAAATTCATTGTATTGGAACAAAATTCTAACTTGATCTATAACTTGTCATGGTGAAACTATATAACAAATATCAAGTCAATATCTTCAAGCATGACGAAAAAAAGTGTTGAAAACTGATTATTTAAGTGAATTTTCTAAGTCAAAGGACCATAACTCTGCACAAAATCTTAAGACCAGAACAAAATTCGAACTTGATCTGTAACTTGTCATGATAAAACAATACACCAAATTTCAAATCAATATTTTCAAGCATGAAGAAAATAAAAAGTGTGGAAAACTGATTTGCCGGACTGACGGATGGACAGACAGACGGACGGAGTGCAAACCTAAAGTCCCCTTCAACTTCGTTGGTAGGGGACTAATAACCAGGGGAAAAAATTCTGCATACAAACAGCAAAACTGTTTTTCAATGTTTTCATAAGCGCAGTCACCTGTCCTTTTCCACAGGAACAATTGAACCGAACCTGATGAACATTTCTTTGAACATAATGATGGTGTATTAAATGTAACTTTGTGACAAATCTCAGGAGATACCTACTGTCTAACATTAGCTGTAGAAACATCCCATTGTATGACATTGTGGTCATTGCTGCAACTGTACAAATAACCTTGATTTTCATCCCAACAGAGGTCATTTACTGTTTCACTGTGACCTTTATCCTGAAATGAAATTTCCGAAAAGGTATGAATACATATTGTGAACTTTCTACTCGACATCACTTTTGAGGATTTTCTTACTTAACATATTTTAATATACAAGGGAAGATATTCCCCTTTTTCCTGGCCAGTCATGAAAAATAGTTGGTTTACAGTCTACTATTTAACAATAGTTCCAATCTTTCCAAAAAGTAGACATATAAAATAAATGACCCTATTAGTTCTGCTTTACACTAATAAACTGCTTCACTGAGCGCAGCTGGATATGCCCGCAGAGGTCCAACCCTGAACAGTTGGGGCAAAAATGGACACAATATTCAAGCTTGATACAGGTCTGAATTTGGATTGTAATTAAATATTTGACATATAGGTTTCTGAATAAATGTAGTCAAAGAACTTGAAATTGGTTATATGAATTGAATTTATATTCAATTAAAGATTTCTTGCTGTTGTGCAATACACTGTGCCGTTGCGCAATACTTAGTAAATCTGTTGTCAGACTATAAACAAATAAAGTTCAATTAATTCTCAATGTCATATTAGAAATTTATGAAAATGTAAAGGGAGCTTACATCAATAGATATAAACAATTCACCAAAGTTTCATGAGAATTGCTGACAGCATTTTTGAGTTATTGTCCGAAAACTGGAAAATCCCCCCCTTTTTTAATGAATAAAACCCCATAACTCAGAAATGATAAATGAAAAATTTATAAAATTCTAAACGGAGCTTACATCAATAGATATATAAACAATTCACCAAAGTTTCATAAGAACTGCTGAAAGCATTTTTGATTTTTTGTCTGAAAACTGGAAAATCCCCCTTTTTTTATGAATAAAACCCTGTAACTCGGAAACGTCAAATCTAAAATATATAAAAATCGAAAGGGAGCTCATGTCAATAGATATAAACAATTCACCACAATTTCTTGCAAGTTGGTGAAAGCATTCTTGAGTTATTGTCCGAAAACTGGAAAATCCCCCTTTTTTTAATGAATAAAACCCTATAACTCAGAAACGTAAAATCTAAAATTTATAAAAAATGAAAGGGAGCTCACGTCAATAGATATAAACAATTCACCAAAGTTCTATGCAAATTAGTTAAATCGTTTTTGAGTTAATGTCCGACATGTTGACAACGGACGGACAGATGGAAGAGGTATACCATAATACGTCCCGTAAACGGGCGTATAAAAATATGGACAATAGATAACGCATGGTAGGTGAATAATTGACCTGAATTAAATGAAAAGAAATTAGGACCAGTAATGCAGTGCATGAGTTAAGTATTTTGTGTGGAAAAAATAAACAATATTTTACAGGTTGGGGACAAACCACCAAATTAGGAACTATTCCCCAAATGAGTAACAATACCAGTGGCGGATCCAGAACTTTTTATAAGGGGGGCCCACTGACTGACCTAAGGGGGGGCCCGCTTCAGTCATGCTTCAGTGATTCCGTATATAATCAACCAAATTTTTCCCACAAAAGGGGGGGGCCTGGGCCCCCACTGGATCCGCCTATGAATACCCAATTGAGTAATAATTTGATTGGGCTAAAAGTACTAAAAATATAATACTTTTATGAGAGGTATTTTACTTTAAACAGAAAATTTATAGTAAATGGATTTTTTCCCTTTCAAACAAACATTTTTTTATTTTGGGTTTCAAAATTAGTATCCTTGAAAATTCAAAATTGGGAAAATTTTCCTAATCTTGTATTTGTAGGACTATTCATAATTTGGGAAACTTGGTGCATTTTTCATGAATAAAATGTGGATTTAAAATAAAATTTTAAACACTAGAAAAGTATTCCTCATTTGATGGATAGTTACTATTTTGTAAACTATTGCCAATTTCATGGGTTGTCCCAAGCTGTTTACTTTAAGTCATACATTAAGTGATACCACCCTTCATTGATTGGTTAAGGACATATGCAAATTTTGTTGAAGTTAAATGCTACAAAAATGCATTACTACCTACCAACTGACTCTGTATATCAGCTTTTACTATACTGTACAATAAAATATTTCCAGAACTGGTTCCTATTGCAACAATATCATTTTGCTCTTGTTCAGCTGAATCTTCTGATAACGATTTCCTTTTTTTCTTTTTCTTTGGTGTTTTCTGAAAATATAAAAGATAAAATGACAAGCAATTTACTTTTTTACTTAAATTTTGAAGTAAATATCATAATCAGTTTTTATTTCTGGAATCATCACACATCCTTGAAAAATAAGGTGTCATAAAAACTAAATAGAGAGCTGTGCCATGAGCGCATAATACGCCCCTTGCTTTTTCAAAGAATAAAGTTCCATAACTCCTCAATGTCATATCAGAAATGTATAAAAAAAACTAAAGGGAGGTTATTTCAATAGATATAAACCATTCACCAAAGTTTCAAGACAACAGCTCGAAGCACTTTGAAGTAATTGTCCAAAAACTGGAAAATCAACCCTTTTTTATGAATAAAATCCCACAACTCGGTAACGTAAAATCTTAAATTTATAAAAATCAACAGGGGTCTTTTGTCAATAGATATAAACAATTCACCAAAGTTTCATGAAAACTGCTCAAAATCGTTTTGAGTTATTGTCCTACAACTGAAAAGTCCCCCTTTTTAAAGTTACAAAACCCCTTTCATTGTAACTTGGAAACATAAAAACCTAAAATTTATAAAAATAGAAAGGGAGCTCATGTCAATAGATACAAGCTATTCACAAAAGTTTCATGCATACTGGTTTAAGCGTTTTTGAGTTATTGCCTAACATGTTGACAACGGACCGACTGACAACAGTATCTGATACATCCTGTAAACGAGCGTATGAAAAAGGTTGAAGTCCATAAATCCCTGTAAATGGTAAAATAAAAATGTCGATTAAAAGAGTATGATCAAGAGAATAAGATGACAAAAATGGTCTCAAGAGTATTGATGACTGTGTCAAGGGACATTAAAGAGGGTATCAATGCTCTTTACCGTCAGGCATCAAACGGCCATTTTCGGCTATCGTTATCATCAAATTGGTTAAAATTTTACTGTGCTTTGTCAATATATCCTTATCGTGATTCGTCAGAGGTCTCAAATAATTATCGTTACCGTTATTTTTGGAAAAAAATTAATGTGATTTGTCAAAATCAGCCGATTGTTTTATCGTCTAAAAGAAAGTGTACATTTTATCGTCATGAACCAAAAATTACCGTAAACATCATTCGGCAAGAATTTTTACTGTTAGTCGTCATGAAGGTACCCCCATTACGACCTTCCTTAAAAATAGCAGCATATTTGAAATACTCTAAATTTGATGAAAGGAATCAGGACACAACCCACAGGTGCATTGGTTATATAATGGTGCATCCAGAACACATGCTCATGGCTTAGTGAGATACCTAAAATAATATTTTTCAATATAAATTTCCTAGGTTGCCAAAAAAATACCCATCTTTTTTTCAAATCATGGCAAATGCTTCAAGTATGCATATGGCATATAAATAACCTTCAAATACAGAAATATCATTTTAATTCAAGAAAATTGGTTCAACTTTTTACTTGAGTTTATCTAGCTAAAAAAAATAAATACTGCTGATTTTGAATTTAACCCTATAGGCTATAAAAAATTATGACTTACAGCATTGGGTCTCTTAGGACCCCATGATAAACAAGTACATGTTGCTGTCAGGTGTGAACTTGGAGTATACTGTTGACTGATTTTTGAGGTCGATGTATCATATACTTTAAGAACGCCATCAGGACTTGAATACATGCAATATTCTCCATTTGAAGAAAAAGATACTGGTGTGGAAAGTGCCATTTTCAACACGTGTTCTAAAATACGCATGCGTCAATTCTCCTAAGGTTTATTTCCGTTTCCTGCTTGTTTCACTTTCAGCTGACTTGTGTTTACAAAATATAAAAAAGTTTACGTGACATTTGTTCAGTAAAAGATGAAGTTTTTATCAATGGTTTAACTTGAATTAGAATGCAATCCTCGGGTCTAAGTCATACGCCGTACCCTTATTTGTTATGACAAAAGTTTTTTGAACTGCAGTTCTAGTCCCTAGTCTAGACAAGCACTTGTAAAATGGAATCTCATGATCAAGTACCACCACCTGATCGCAATGCTGAACCAAAAGACAGGTATAACAAGGTCAATCCGATTCGAACAAAATGAAAAGTTTTTTTTACTTATATGGCCTGATGGAAATTAGTCTTTAATATCAACTCATTTGTCTATTGCAGTATTGGTGTCACTGTGTTCTGAAGGGGGGGGGCTTTCAGGGATCTCCATGACCTGTTTTATGATGGTGCACCGCCATCGTTAAAAATATTTCTTCAGCGTTTTACAAAATGGTTACGAAACTTCTTGTTAATGCTGCAAGCCCTCGATACCGGTTCATTAATTTGACAGTGAAAAAAGATTTAATACCTGAAAAAAATATAACAATTAATTAATTTATTATAACTTCAAATAAAAGATCAAGTATAAAGACCTTGTTGATTAAGTAAATTTTTTCAATCATGATTTTTATTGAATTAAGTGACTGGCGTTACTTTAGTTCAAGATCATCAGACAATTGTTGAATAACCAAACCAATTTTTAAATAGACTAATGATTTGATTTAAACAAGTCATTATAATGATTACATTGAATTAAATTTTACAAACAGTACCAATGACTCATTTTCGAATCGACTTAAAATAATTCATCTGAATATTACGCTAATATTAGAAATACTAATCACTTACCTGCTGTCATCAAGCTTTTCACCAATTCCATTTATCCAGGTTGAAATATGTCACCAAATCCTCCGAAAGTTGATATAGTCTATTCATAATTTTAATATGGGGACGGATCAACTCGGGGGCGTATCGGTTTGGGGCCGGAACAACCTGATACCAGGGGTGTGGGTCAGGGTGGGGGGTTCAAGTCAAATTGGCATCGTCACCTATAGAAAAAGTTAAATCAGCTTCGGGTCAAATCAGCACCTATTTAAAGTCAATTCGGCATCTGATAATATTTGATATAATATATCAATAATTCTAAATATGTATAAACATTGATAAACGATCTTTCAATTTATAATTATTTTAAAAAATTTTGGGGTTGGATTTGATTTTATTAATTACATCGTTAAAAATCATCACATTTTATCAAGCAGTTAGAATACATTGTACATACATTTTTGAAAGTTAATTGTTTGTAGTTTTCTCAACATTTTATGACTGATGTTTTGATTAGTTTTCTTTTCAATTAATTAATTAATAAAGACAACACTAGTATACCGCTGTTCAAAAGTCATGTAATAAGATTTATCAATTAAATAATTTACATGTTTTTTGTTTGAACGCTATACAGGTAGTTAATGATGTTTTTTCTTTAAAAACGTAAATAAAAAGACGATGAAGCCATTACCCAAGCTGTTGTTTAATCATGAAAAAATTAGAAGCAAATAAGGTAAAGTAGTATTTCAGGTAAGGTTTAAACAGCATTAAAGTTGTAAACCAACAATCATGCAAAATGCTCAACTGGCTAATGCGGCGTTCACACAGTACCGATTATGGCTCCAGTTTGAGATCAGACAGCTATAAGACACAAAAAGTGAAAAAGTCGGATTACTTTCCTCAATGATCTGGAATGTCCTATCATTGTCTGAACACAGTCCTATACGTTTGTAACAGATTCCTACAGATCAGGAATGGTCCGGAGCGGTCGGCCAAACACCCTGACAGTTAGGTGCATCCCATTACATTCAGGCGAGACTCAGCTGATTTTGTCTAGTCGGATTACAATAGTGACAGAATCTGCTATATCGGATCAAAATCGTAACAATATTCTGTGTTTTCTGGACGGTGTCCTGTGGAATAGGGATGATCTGGAAATTTTTTTGTCATTGCTGTTTTTTAGCCGATTGAGTCCAGATTTCAACCATTGTCAACCAGTTCTTGCCGAATGCCAACCGTCTTTGCCGAAACTGTTCCAGAACAGTCCCTTTATTTATACAAAATTCGGCAATAATGCCCATGTCAGAGTCTTGACAATTACAGAACACAATACAACTGAGTTCAGACCAAGCTGTTTGCAAAGCGGTACATAAGACTGTGATAGGATTGCTTTCCGACAGTACCTGATCATCCCGAATATGACTACTGTTTTCTAACAAATATCTTCTGTCAGCGTCGTTTCAATGTCTGGTCACTTTCTGATCTTTGTCGGATCACATTAAGTCATTTTGTATAATCTGGACGCTGTCGGGACAAATTCTGTTGTATTTTACTATGTGCGAGATACACATTGGATTAATATTGGATTGAGAACCGTATAATTGGGACAAACTCAACTCGAAACAGCTGAATTTAAACGCTTCCTGAACAATATCTTATTGTTGTCATGATTAAATGAATGTTTTTACGAATTTTATTTAAAGTTTCAATTTCCAGCCACGATTCACAGGATCTTGATCAGATTTTTGACAAATTTTAATCATGAATGGTCCTGTCAAGGACGGCAGTAAAAATTGTGAATGTGTGACCCCGGTTTAACCAAATACATGCATAACAAATATCAAATACCTTGAATACACAGTTGACCAAAAAAAATACATACAAAAAAAATGTTATTAAGTCAGTATTTCTGGAAAACGCATTCTTTATCTTTATTTTAATCTTTTTGCATAAAATACTGAAAAAAAGATATCTATTCAACATATTCAACATGGGTGCCGAAATGACTACATCAGGTGCCGATTTAACCATGTGCTGATTTGACTAGGTGCGGATTTGACTATACAAGGTGTCGATTTGGCCAGGTGCCGATTTGACTAGAATTCCTGAAGGGGGTGCATTATTGGTAATAAAAAACATAACAATAAACACAGTACACCTTATCGCTATTTGTGTGCCATTACTGTACATTCCAATAAAATTTTGACGTTTCAATGGAAAATGTCTGACGCCACAAAGGAAAAGTGATGGTTGTATAAGGTACATAGTACAAGTGGCACAGATTCCCAAATAGTGATAAGGTCTATAAATAGCCATAGATGTTTAAAGGGTACAACTATTTCCCAAGAACTCCCAAATATAAACCTGAGAACCAATTGAAAATTATCTGAAAACGTTTCCTTATATGCAGTAGTATTACTCCTTTTAGGCCAAATAAAATAGAATGTGTGGTTCCAATTACATCTAAAAAAAAAAAGTTAGGGTAGGTAGGTAGGGATTTTTTTTATTTTATGTTTTTTTTTTTAAATTGAGTCTATGGGAGCAACATTCTGAATTTAACAGTGCTTAATGATAAAATAAACAAAAATTTTTTAGGATAAAATTGAGAATGGAAATGGGGAATGTGTCAAAGAGACAACAACCCGACCATAGATTTACTGGAAACCACGAAATTAAATCCCAAGGAAATCTTATATGGAGACAAAACCACGAAATTTTAACCCCACGAAAATTAATGTTTCTACAGTATATCATATTTTATCTTAATGTATACCTGCCTCAAGTATATTTACTTGTATCTTATATTTAAAACAACTATATTTTTGAATTAGAACAAACTAGAATGGTTTACTTTTATAAATTTTGACTTGGATGGAGAGTTGTCTCATTGGCACTCATACCACATCTTCTTATATCTATTTATTTTCTACTTGCAGGTTGAATATTGTTTACATTATATTTTATGTTTTGGGAATTGGTTCATTGTTGCCATGGAATTTCTTCATAACAGCCAAAGATGTAAGTTATCTCTCTTCCATTAGGTTATCAGTTTCTGTAAATTATAATTGTACAGTTCACATCATGCACATATGAGTGATTCTCTGTAAAAAAAACTATGATAACGGATCAGGGAGACAGATTAACATATGGACAATTTTGTTTCTGAATCACTTTGAGGCCATAAAAGAGAAAATGTTTGTTTGCCCTAACCCTACCTACCCAGAAAATAGCTGCCTACTCAAAATCTTGTATTGTCCTGATGTGATTTTTTTTTAATCAGATAGGCATGAAGACTAAAAACATCTGACACTTCAATTTCTTTTTGCCGATTTTCTCTACATCTGGTTAGGGTTTGGGCGAACCAAAATATTTTAAGTTTGGCTTCAATAAAATGAAATGATATTTTGTATGTCATGTTTTCAATTTAAAGTAGTTATCAACTAAAAAGGGTGATTGAAGGTGATGATACCGATAGTCTGATTTATCAATCTTTCATATACGGGTACATATAGCGAGATACTTGAAAGTGAACCACCCACTTTTCACTCTGATAATCAAAAATCTCCAGCAGTAGTGAATTTTAATGTAATCACTTTGTTTGCATTGAAAGAGCAGAATTTACACAATTTGAATTAAAACACCCTAAATTTCAACCTGTCAGTTCACCAGTACCAATAACAATTTACATATATTGAGAGTTGTTTCATTGGCACTCATACCACATCTTCTTATTTCTATATAAGCTGGAGGGGGGTATATGTCAATGAGACAGCAACCTAACGAAATAAAATGGAAAGACATTTAGAGGTCAACATATAGTGCAACAAGAGATGAGTGTCTTTAAAATGTGAAACACTTGTCATCACCTGAATACAAACAAGTTACCACTAAATTTAAAATAAAAATAAGGTATGATTGCCAATGAGACAACTATCCACCAAAGTGCAATGAAGTTGATGTAAGCAATTAGAAGCAACTGTACGGCCTTCAACAAGAGACTATCATATCAAATATCTGACATCAACAACAAAATCTCCAAATGACAACATTGAGATACAACAACTGATGAGTTTCTTGACTTGTGACATGTATGTCATTGCCATGTTCCAAAAATTATAATTCCAATTTCCCAATTGTCATAATTACACGCATATATGTTTCTTTTTCAGTACTTTGAATTTAAGTTACGTAACACCTCTGTACCAGAAAAAGATTACAAAGATACAAGATTCCAAACAGAGTATCAGCTGATCTTTGAGAGCTCTATTGCTGTAGCCTCCATGGTTCCTAATCTTATATTTAATTTTGTCACTGCATTATGTACTCAGCGGTAGGTATTAGTATTACACGCTTTAAGATAAATTCGTGATTTCAAATACTAAAATCAAAAGGTCAACTAGATTTAGTGTAAGAATGATTGTAAGGTGTGCATATCTGACTGGCAGGTTTCAATCGACTTTGACCTCATATTCATGGTTCATTGGTCACTGCTAAAGTTTTGTGGTTTGGCCTAATTCTCAGGTACTGTAATCAATATGTCGGCTGTATTTGGTTTTTGGAATGATAGTAAGTTGTACATGTCCGACATGTCTAGAAGGTTTCATTTGACCTTGACCTTTTTAAATGGTCCATTTGACGATGTTAAGTTTTTACTGTTCAGACTATTTCCAAGATTCTGTAAGCAACAAGGCTGCTATATTTTGTATACAGAATGATTGTAATGTGAACATGTCTATCTGCAGGTTTCATCTGACCTCAACCTCATTTTCTTGGTTCATTTGTTTATTTTAAATTTTTATGGTTTTGTGTGTTTAGGATCTATAAGCAAAATGTCTACTATATTTGGTGTATGGAAGGATTGTACAGGGAACCAGCTGTCCATCTGGAATCTTGACCCTATTTTCATGGTTCATAATTAGTCAATGTTAAGTGTTCATGGTTAAGTCTGTTTCTCAGATACTATAAGCAAAAGGTCAACCAGATTTGGTGTTTTGAATGTTTGCATGGTGTACATGTTGTCTCTCAGGGTTAATTTGACCTTGACCTCAATTTTATGGTTCTTTGGTCAATGTTCAATTTTTGTAATTAGGTCTGTTTCCCAGATACTATAAGCAATAGGCTTACTATATCTGTGTATGGCATGATTGTAAAGTGTACATATCTGTCTGGCATTGTTCATCTGATTTTGACGTCATTTACATGGATCATTGATAATGTTAAGTTTATGTGATGCTTGTAGTAGGACCTCCATATATTAGACCTTCAACATAAATTTAATTATGATAAGCAAAGCAGGCTAGACATTTCAACGTGTGCACTGTTGTTATTTTGGATTTTACTTATTGATATCTTGTTCTTCATATACATGTATCATAGAGACTTACTTTTGTATACATGTACTTTGCAGAGACCAAGAATGTCTGTAAATTTTACTTTAAAGACATAATACACATATTGTTTAAATTAAACATTGATTTTGGGGAAAATATTTCAAATGTTTTATACATTTTTTTTTGAAACGGCTTTTGCGATTTTAATTTCAGTAAGAGGTTTTTAAGAATTGATAGCTGCTGAAGTAAAACTGATAATGTGTTTTAACATCAGACCAGTGACACTGCCTCCATTGGTTAGGGGTAGGGATGAACTCTCACACACAAGTTACACCCAGCCACTTTCTTTATGTGCCTGTCCCACTCCTTGATGCTGTAATCCAGTGGGTGTTAATTGCTGTCTGCCATATTTGTGTTTTTATCATTATAATTGTATAAATCATGGTGGTGTTGATGATGTTCTTTTTATAGATGCAAATTTCCTTAAATCCAATAAAGCACAATATAAATCCAAAAGTCTATATATATTTATTCCCAATAAACCTGCATATACATAGATATAGATAATACATTTATGTACAATATTTACATTAAAAAAAAGAAAAAAAACATTGCTATGAAATTTTATTTTTGCCAAAAGCATATATACTTTGGTTGATATTCTCATAAATTTACATAGTTGTATCAACAATTTGTTTTTATGTCATTATATTCCTGTTTTAATTAAAAGTGACATTTTGAAAAATAATGAATTAAGCAGTTTAAAAGTTTTCTTTTCATTGAAGTATTTACAATCTTATATATGTTATATGAAATGGAAGCATTTTTGTAACACAGAATACAAACTGAAATTCCAAATTCATCTTGTATATTATGTTGGAATCTTGGAATGTAAGTTAGCATTAAGATAAGTGTGTGCACCCATACATCTACATATAAAAAAGATACTTAAAAAAATATAACTGAAATTATAAGATTAACATGCTATTAACAATTGCTTTTTCTTTTCAGGCTACCTTTAAAGTTTAGAATGACTGTCTCTACGATGATTGTTCTTATAATGTTTATATTAACAGTCATATTTGCTAAGGACAAGAACACAATACATTGTAAGTTTTGAATTTTATCAGTTTTTAGTCCCCTACTGACGAAATCGAAGGGGACTTTAGGTTTGCACTCCGTCTGTCTGTCTGTCTGTCCATCTGTCAGTCCGGCAAATCAGTTTTCCACACTATTTTTCTTCATGCATGAAGATATTGATTTGAAATTTTGGTATATAGTTTTATCATGACAAGTTACAGATCAAGTTCAAATTTTGTTCCGGTCTGATGATTTTGTGCAGAGTTATGGTCCTTGGACTTAGAAATTTCACTTAAATAATCAGTTTTCTGCACTTTTTTTTGTCATGCTTAAAGATATTGATTTAATAATTGGTATTTAGTTTTATCATGACAAGTTACAGATTAAGTTCGAATTTTGTTCTGGTCTGATGATTTTGTGCAGAGTTATGGTCCCTGGACTTAGAAAATTCACTCAAATAATCAGTTTTCTGCACTTTTTTTGTTATGCTTGAAGATATTGATTTAATAAATGGTATATAGTTTTTTCATGACAAGTTACAGATCAAGTTAAAATTTTGTTCTGGTCTGATGATTTTGTGAAGAGTTATGGTCCTTGGACTTAAAAAATTCACTTAAATAATCGGTTTTCCGCACTTTTTTTTCGTCATGCTTGAATATATTGACTTGATATTTTTATATAGTTTACATCATGACAAGTTATAGATCAAGTTAGCATTTTGTTCCAGTACAATGAATTCTTAACCGGTAGGGGACTATGTATTGCCATGCAATACTCTCAGAATGCTTTTTATTTTAACTGTTGTGTTAACATACAAAATTGTAGATGCAGAAGGGGGGTTTGAACCCTTTGTTGGATTTCTTAAAAAAAAAGTGTCTTTATTTAGTTAAAAAAGACTTTTTATTAAACATGTTACTAATGCTGTGATGATATGAAAAAATAAAATTATATTGGGGAGATATTTAATGGGCTTTCCAAATAATTTACACATTTTGTAATAAAGGTTGTACACTTTTTCTTAAAAAAAAATGATAGTAAACCAGTCTTTATAATGATCATCTAAGCAAATATATATTTTGATTGAATAAATTTAATAAAAAATTGTGGCAATGTACTACAACTCATAACTTTTATATTTTCTTGTTTTCTTGACCTTGACCTCATTTTCATAGTTCATTGCTCAATGTTTTTGGTTCGTTTTTGATTCAGCCATGCTGGATCTATGCGATCACTCTGGTTTTGGAGATGGTGCAGAATACTAAGTTGAAGACATATCATGAAACTAATTATGTGTTTTTATGACTTGCTGAAACTTTCTACACCATTTTAATCATCAACTGCCAACTTTTGACATGTTATTTGCCCTTAAATTAAGAAAAGATTGGTCGAACAACCCTTTTATGTTAGATATACACTTGCATATAGTTTCTTTGTAAATCAAAATTTATAATGATTTACTATTTATGAATTAATTTGAAAAGTATATGTACATCAATTGAATCAGTTGATGAGAATTTTGAAAGTATTAGATTAGTATCTTATGCTTGTGTAAGTGATTGTTCAATGAACTTTGGGTCAACATGTGTATTAATATATCTAAGTTGATTCCCACACTTTTTTGAAATGGTATTACTCCAATTCTTTCCATAGGCAAGTAAGAGTCAGTATGATTATCAACTGTCATGATTTTCAAATAATTACACTCAAAGGTGTAAGTATTAATTGGAAACAACCCCAGTCTTAATTCACCAAAGTTAATATCTCATGACCTGTTATATAATTAAATAGACACAATTTATTACACACCTAACTGAATGCACACATTCTTACCTCAATAGTATACCTACAAATGTATTATTTATTTTGATCTACACAACATTAAAATATTCTGTTAATTTGCTAGCTAACTGAATGATTAATCAGATGTGGGTTTTTTTCAATGAAAAGATAAAAAATGAAAAAAATATGTATATAAAATGCAAGCAAATTTTATTTCACTTGTAAAACAGTGTCATTATCATCTGTCACATAAGTCAATAATCAAGTTCTAATTAATTAGTTACAATTATCAGAAATTTTGTTGAAACAATAAACAAAATTGCATAACTCTTACCTGAGCATTTTCTGCCATAAAATTTATTTGTTTGTTCTACATTTATATCCCATTATATTGCTATTTAACAGTAATTGGAAATATCTCAGCATTAGGTATTTGTTCATTCAATTTCAATACAGGAAATGTATTTTTTCTTATATTGAAGAATGAACACCAATTTAGATAAAAAATAGTTATTATTTTTTTAAATTTTAGTTGTTGAGAAATTGGATTTTTAATGCCTCTTTCTGGAATTTATTAAGCCAGTTATTATTAATGGCATATAAAAAAAAATATATTACTTGTTTGACGATTTCCCTTTGCATTCTTGTCAATACCATTAAATTGCAAATATTTATAAAAAAAAAATCTGACAGAGTCTAAAATTGAAATATCAATATTTATACCAATATTTGCATCAATATTGCGAAATTCCCTACCTTTGGACAATAACACAGAAATTTTACAGTAAGATTGGAAATGAAAAGAGAAAAATATTGAAAAAAGTATGGTCAGAAAGAATATCAGACTAGCTATGAATATGGCTGGATCACAACATCGACGATGCTTTGATTCTAATACTTTAAGCAATAGGTCAACTATAATTAGTGTATTATGTATAGAATGATTGTAAGGTGTTTATGTCTGTCTGGCAAGTATCATCTGACCATGACCTCATCTTGATGGTTCATTGGTCAATCTTAAGTTTTCATGGTTAAGTTTGTTTCTTAGATACTATATGCAATAGGTCAACTATATTTAATGTAATGATTGTAGGTATACATGTTTGTCTGGCAGGGTTTATCTGACCTTGACCTTGACCTCATTTTCATGGTTAATTTTGTTTGTTAGATGCGCAATAGGTCAACTATATTTAAAGCATATTTGGTGTGTGGAATGATTGTAAGGTGCACATGTATTTACAGTTTAGTTTATCTGAACCTGACCTCATTTTCTTGGTTCATGTTGAGTTTATGTGATAGTTGTAGTAAAGCTTTATGTTTAGAACTATCAAAATAAAATTAACGGCTTGGAATTAAAGAAGGCGAGACATTTCAGTGTTTGCACTCTTGTTATTATTTGTTTCTGCACCACACACTAAAAGGTGCAGACCTGTGACATAGTTAGGGAAATGAGAAGTAAACCTGCTGTTCAGGTGTATTCTTTGGCCCTGTCAGCTTATTGATGAATCACTGATGACAAATTGATGATATTTTGTATGCAGTTGAATAAGTATTGGCACATCTCATTTTCATGGAGATTATTTGGCTACTGTCTAATTTTTATACAGATGAGACACATCTCTGTGTGAAAATTTTATAAAGTTATCAAATGATTGTATAATATTTTTAGTATTGATCTTAATGTTTACGTCAGTAATATCTTTTTTTATCATACATGAAACAGAAGTCATAAAAATATTCTATCTGCATTGAAATACTGTTTGCATTTATTTTCGTGGGTGCCAATTATGGTGGATTGAGAAAAATTGTATTTTTGTGTATATTTGATTTCTTGGTTTTGATTAACTCTGCATATAATCATATAAAAAATTGGCAACATCTAAATTTGTGGTTTATCTACACCCACAAATTCCACGAAAATTGGTATCCCACGAATATTAATGAATCCACAGTATTCAGAAATTTGTGCATGCATTGCATGATTATTGCAATTGCTGAATTATGATCCAAAAATGAAAGTTAATTACTGTGATTTCTAGAAATACTGCTTACAAATAATGCTATCAAAATTTGAAAATGGGAATATTATTTATGAAAAACCTGTCCCATTGCAATTTTCTCTAATGATAAGAATATCACAAAAATTTCTGAATTTACTACAGTATACTGTTTAAATCCATTGTTTACAGCATTTACACCTTAAAAACAAACATGTGATACCTATTATAATTCTATATTAAAAATCTAATTTTTTATTAATAAACTTTTTACAATGAATGTATAATATGTATAATGCGTAAGGGAAAAATATTTCTTTGAAATATATTTGTCATCATATCAAATTTTGGACATTAAGAAAAACTTGGACTATAATAGTTTCTCTTTTTTTTTCCACAAAAAAATACCAGGATTTTATTTATTCAAATTGCTTTTTTTCCATTGTAATTACTGTAATAGAAACAAATCAAATTCAAAAAGTTTATTAATGCAATCAATCAAATTCTTTTTTTGAAACTGTTTATATGTATGTCAGGAACCTGATGTTCAGTGGTTGTCGTTTGTTGATGTGGTTCATAAGTGTTTCTCTTTCCCATTTTTTATTAAGATTAAACCGTTGGTGTTCCTGTTTGAATGATTTTACACTAGTCTTTTTTGGGGCCCATTATAGCTTGTGGTTTGGTGTGAGCCAAGGCTCCATGTTGAAGGCCGTACTTTGACCTATAATGGTTTACTTTTAAAAATTGTGACTTGGATGGAGAGTTGTCTCATTGGCACTCATACCACATCTTCTTATATCTATATATCAACTTTGATATTTTTTTCTAAGAAATAATCAAACTTTTTAAAATAAATTCTAACCATGGATTTATTTAAAGTAAGTGATAGATATTTTCAGTTTTCATATTTGTTTTTAGAATACTCTACAGTTTATTATGGAACATTTTACTATAATTTTGGTCAAAATCAAAAAAGACTACTAGATATTGCGTTATATTTCATCTATTGTAACCTCATTACATGTATTTCATCTAGAACATAAATTGAATTTTGTTATATATTTGCCATTGTAATCACAAATAAACCTAAAAACTCATTATGTTTAAAACAAATACTCCAAGGATTCTTCAGACCCTCCTTTTCACTGATCAGTACTTTACTTTCCTGTCCAAAGGATAAGTTATGGCAATAGTGTCCTGATTGATCTGTGTTACACTGTTGGCTTCACCAGATATTGTTAATTGTTTCTTAAGTTTGCCATCAGGAGTAAGTAAGTTTACCTTATCATCTTCTTCAACTATTATAACCCTTCTATCCAACAGACAAATCATGTCACTAATAATCTTCATGTTGATCTCTTTTTTTGTCTCAATATTCATTGTCAAGTTATTTATATTGGATTGTTCTTGTGATTCTACTTGTGCTTCTCTCCTCACACTCGTTTCTCTTTTCACTGCAATTTCTGTTTTATTAACAATACAGTAACTTCTCCGAAGGATTCCAATGATTCTAACTTGCTTTGTATCATTTTGCTTGAGTTTGATCTCAAATTCTTTGGCCCTGTCATCATCTTCAAGATCTTCAACGTATCGTTGACATTGATGTACTTGTTGTTCAATCTGATGTACCTCTACAAATGATTGGAGTTTTGACGTATTTTATTTCATTTAAATTCACTTTCTTTTCTTCAATTTCAGTTACCAAATTTGATGCTTTGGATTTTTCCTGATTCAAGATGGTGTCTATTTCATGGTATAGTTTCTCCTCCAGATTGTCTAAATGTTTATTTATTTTCATCCGAAAAATTTGCAATCGATTTCTTTATGCTTTGATATTGTTGTTCCTCTCTTTTGATGTTTTGTGATTTGTTATTCACCATTTCATTCAAGATGTCGAAGGTAGAATTGTTATCTTTATCTGAAGATTCTTTTGATTTTTCTAATTTTGCTTTCTCCACCACGCCAGATAATTTTTTTATTCCAGTACATTTTGAATGACTTTTGGAAATACATTCATCACAGCAACGAAGGCATTAAATGACCGGGGCAGTACAAATTAAGCTGTTGACCATGTTTGTCACATTCTGTTGTGATAGCATGAATGGAGGGTTTATGAATTTTAATATCAATAGTTTTGTGATCACATGATAATTTAGATCTTTTGTGGTGACCAGAACAAGTTGAGCATAATCCTTCATTACAGTTGTAACTCCAGATATCAGCTTTAGTGTTTACTTTTCCTTCTTGACAAGGTCCACATGGTATAGGTTTTCTGGATGCCATAGCCTATATAATACAAAATATATCTTATTAAAGTTATTTAGACTGCTTAACAGTCCACATTTAACAGGTTTAGTTATCTATATATTGACACTGACAAAAGTCATTTGTAATACAGAAATATTTGTCTTTCAATAGATATTATTGCATTTAATTTGTATATAACTATTCTGTTTCGTTACACAAATCTTTTGAATTGTATCAAGTTTTCCTGTTTGTCTGGTATCATCAATTCCATTTGACCCAATACCTGTTAAATTTGAAAAAATTGGAAAATGTGTTTTATTTTTCTATATTTTACTGCTAAAAGGACTTATTTTTTGTTGGCAGTGAACATTTAGTCTGGGGTTAATGTTTTATAAGACATTAATAGCTTCGTCAAACCTTAGTAGAATTTTATGAAACTTTGTCAAAAATTTTGTTTATGATTAAGAGATTAATGTTGGAGTCTGATGCAAAATATTATTGCGAACCCAATGAAAGTTTTCCACAGTGCCATCTCCATCTTGACCAGGTATTTAAACTTTTGTAAGTTCACCTGTCCTATTGAATGAATACAATAGCTATTTTTCTCTGTGTAGTTTATTCACATGGACCTTTAAAATAATTCTTCTAAGAGAAATCTATCACTCATTGGTTAATTTACCTGAGTAAAACAATTTTCTTATATATAGACAAAAATACTTTTTTATACTCATTAACTGTGTGTGATCATGTATTTATTCAAAATTAATAATATATTTTCATTCAGTTTAATATAAACATTGATTAAATCATAAAAAGTTGATTTCAAACAAAAGTTTTATCAATGTTCCTATTGAAATTTGTGATTTTTTTTTGTCTAGTTATAGAATACATTTAAGAAGGTCTTAATTTGAACATCATAATATTCAAGTTTTTATTCATGTCAAACAAATTTTTTTTTAAAAGGAACAATGTTGAAAGTTTTGTCAGAAATCAACTTTTTATGATTGAATCAATGTTTATATATAAACTGAATGAAAATATATTATTAATATATTATTAATATAACATAAATCAATGCTAACATGTTTAACCCCGCCACATTCTGTATGTATGTGCCTGTCCCAAGTCAAGAGCCTGTAATTCAGTGGTTGTCGTTTGTTTATGTGTTACATATATATTTTTTGTTCATTTTTTGTACATAAATTAGGCCGTTAGTTTTCTTGTTTGAATTGTTTTACATTGTCATTTCGGGGCCTTTTATAGCTGACTTTGCGGTATGGGCTTTGCTCATTGTTGAAGGCCATACGGAGACCTATAGTTGTTAATTTCTGTGTCATTTGGTCTCTTGTGGAGAGTTGTTTCATTGGCAATCATACCACATCTTCTTTTTTATATTTTATTAATGTTTCAACTTTGCATCACTGTTTACATTCAACCGATTGAAAATATATTATCAATATTGAAAAAACATAACATCACATGCAGTTTTGAGTATAAAACTTGGATGGAGAGTTGTCTCATTGGCACTCATACCACATCTTCCTATATCTATTTTCCTCTATTTACAAGATTTTTTTTTACTCAGGTAAATTAATCAATGAGTGATAGATTTCTCTTAGAAGAAATTTAAAAGTCCCAGTGAAAAAACTACATGGAGAACAATAGCTATTGTATTTATTCAATAGGACAGGTGAACTTACAAAAGTTTAAATACCTGGTCAAGATAGAGATGGCACTGTGGAAAACTTTCATTGGGTTCGCAATAAAGACATTTTTTTTTCGGAAATTCTACCGACAAATGGTCTTTTATGGCAGGTTTTTGGCAGGTAACATTAACACATAGTTTGGGTATAAAATTCTTAAAACATGTGGGACTTTGTAAACCTTCATGGAATGTCATGAAAATTTAATTTATAAAGTATTTAACAACCATAAATTTCATGCGTTTGTAGAGCTTTCTGGATTTACCTTCATCAGGAAAGCTCAATGCCGAATATTCATAAAGCCAGGGATGTATAAGAACTGAAAAAGTTAAAGAGCTAGATGACCACTAAGGACCTAAACACTATAGCCAAATTCATCTACGGTCAACTTTGCCTGAAGTACAAGTTTCTTAATAATTTTCAAAACTTACAATTATTTAAAGTTTTGTTATAAATCATGTCAGTATCAAATGACTGAGATTATTTTCAAATTGTGAATTGAAATATCCACAATATTCATACATTTTTATTAAAAAATATAAGACTTTAGATTTTTTATCAGATTTTTCCCCAAACAACAAATTTTACAATTGGATGAAAGAGGGTCATTAATTACCCCACGACATTCTTTTCAATTGATTTTTGTTCTTTTTTTTATGAAAGGTTGTAACCTTTTTGTTTTGAATGATGTTGAGATCCCCTGTTTTAACATGGCCATTGGGATCAATTATTTCCTTAACTGATGTCTGATATGTAACTGAGGAATTAGATTTAAATTTTTATTGAGGCTTTTATATGTATACAAATTAATAGTTTAATCTCATCAAAACCAAGAGGTGTAAAGTTTTGAATGTAACAGTTTTTGAATATACTGGATAAGTTGATCAATCAATAAATATATTAATACATTTTATTTTAAGAAGTAGTATTTTAACCAAATACCTCTTGATGTAAGGAGAAGTCCTTTGAGTTGTTTTATGACACCTTCAATTCATTTCCTTCACAGTTTCTCAAAATGTCAAACCAGGAAGTTAATAAGGATATGTTTATATCTGATCCAGGTAAACTTAATGTTTAAAGGGAATACATTATACGGGGTACATAGTAATATGATATATTGATAACAGTTTGACCAAAAAATTAATTCATTCATTTTATCAGATCAAATCTTTTTCTATTATTTCTTTTTATCATTGGTAATTGTAAACTATATGTAATTAAACCTTTTCATAGTTGAATTAAATTCTAATTGTTAGCTCTACATTTCATTCTGTTCCGATACTGAATCCGACACAATCACGTTCCTCAAGCAAACTGTTGGGTGAATAAAGAGAATTTTATGGCACATAGAGCTCACTCCTGTAATTAATTAAAATATTGTAAATTGAATAAAGGACCCAGTCAAGCATGATGTAAAATTATGGTATATTACTAAATCACTTATGTAGAAAAGAACAAGAAATTGATACTTGTGGTTAATTGCAATAGTCAGTTACTTGTGGTTCATTGCATTAGTCAGTTACTTGTGGTTCATTGTAACAGTCAGTTACTTGTGGTTCATTGTAACAGTCAGTCACTTGTGATTAATTGCAATAGTCAGTTACTTGTGGTTCATTGCAATAGTCAGTTTCTTGTGGTTCATTGCAGTAGTCATTTACTTGTGATTAATTGCAATAGTCAGTTACATGTGGTTCATTGTAATAGTCAGTTACTTGTGGTTCATTGTAATAGTCAGTTACTTGTGGTTCATTGTAATAGCCAGTTACTTGTGGTTCATTTTAATAGTCAGTTACTTGTGGTTCATTGCAGTAGTCAGCTACTTGTGGTTCATTGCAATAGTCAGATACATGTGGTTCATTGTAATAGTCATTTACTTGTGGTTCATTGCAGTAGTCAGTTACTTGTGATTCATTGCAATAGCCAGTTATGTGTGGTTAATTGCAATAATTGCCATAGTCAGAATAGTCAGTTACTTGTGGTTCATTGCAATAATCAGTTACTTATGGTTCATTGCAATATTCAGTTACTTGTTGTTTATTGCAATAATTGCAATAGTCAGTTATGTTTGGTTTATCACATTGATTGCAATAGCCAGTTATGTTTGGTTTATCACAATGATTCCAATAGCCAGTTACTTGTGGTAAAGGGATTTCATAGCATATTTTGACTGATATGCAATCAGTATTTAATGCCTCTGTTCAGTCTTTATTGTCTTATTGCCCAGTCAATATATTTATTTGCATCATCTGTTTTGTTAACTTTACTAAATGTTCATGTTTTTATTTCTATTGTAGGGCAATCTGGATTTTATGCCTTTACTATAGTCTCTGTTGTCATATTAAATGGTAAGTTTTCTAAAAACTAATACATTGATATGATGAGTGAAGAGTTGTTAAATTCAGTATTTTTGAAGGAGGTGAGGTATTTTTGTAAGAGCCTCACTATACGATTTAGTTTTTGTTGATACTGTTAAGAAGAGGTCAACACAGGATATGTGTATAAAAAAAATGAAATGCACGTTTCCTATCTATACACGGTGAAACTGTTATTTCAGCACGACAGTATGTGAAATATAAGTAAAAAAGGAAATTTGTTGCACAAAAATAAGCTTTTACCAATTTCAGTTGCATAGAAATTGTATCAAATAGAACAGAAGTTTTTTTGTACAGCAAATGGGATACTGTGACTTTTAATAGAAAATCAAATTTGAAAAATTAACAAGGGTACTAGTATATTATGAACATTTGCATATAGCTATCAATCAACTGGTCCCCTGCTCCTGTTGACCCTTATTGAATGGAAACTATTTGTTTATTTGTCTGGCTTATACATCCTTATGTTTCATATTGTGTTGTCTGGATTCTTGTTCTTTTTTGAAAATCTTACATGCCTTCCTAATGTAAGAATAAGGAGATGTGATTGCCGATGAGACAATTATCCAATAGAGACTAAAATAATACAAAGCTGTGTTAGCTGCTTCAGAATTTAATATATAACGTCTATTGAGGATGTTCCCTACTCTATTTCAAAATATCAAGCTTTTTTATTGACTGTACTAAATTGATAGTATATAAATAACACAAATATTAAAGCAGAAAAAAATGACGAGTCGGTGTAAGCCATTGAAAAATTGGCGGGAAATGAGTCTCTCTGTATTTTTCATACATTTAACATTGGCACCTTTTTTCTTTCAAAAACTATGAAAAAATAACAAGGATTTTATAAGATTTTCAAATAGTTAAAATATATGTAATAAACTTAAGAAAAGAAAAGTAGGGGTAAGTGGCCAAAATGTTTAATGGCACTACATGGATAAAACCAGAGGATTCTGAATATCTGACACAAAATTTAAAAAGAAGAGTAGTGAACATCCTAGTCCTATAATATAAGACTTCTGAGTTTCATATCATTTACATTCAACGTTTTTTATCGGATATTTTTTTTACTATCAATGTTTCATTTACATTCAACGTTTTTTATCGGATATTTTTTTTTACTATCAATGTTTCATTTACATTCAACGTTTTTTATCGGATATTTTTTTTTACTATCAATGTTTCAACATTGATAGTAAAAAAAAATATCTGATAAAAAACGTTGAATGTAAATGATATGAAACTCCGAAGTCTTATATTACAGGACTATGAACATCCTGAAGATTTGGTTATTAATAATACAGATATCAAAAGCATATAAACAAAGGTAGTTATAGAGAAATGGTAATCATTATTTCTTACATTTTACATGTTTAATTTTACAGCCTGTAGTTCAGTATTTACAACGTCTTTGTTTGGATTAGCTGGTGTATTACCACACAGATACATGCAAGCCAGCATGAGTGGACAGGTCAGTTTAGTTTCTTTATTAAAAAATATTTTGTTATTGATATTAAGATATAAGCAAAAATTTGATTCGGTCAACATGTGGTCAAGGTTGAAGTTTTGTACTACTTAGGTTCATCATGCTATTGTGTAATTAATATTCAGGTCAGCAAGTTAATGAAGTATGTTTTGGGTTGAAAATTTTGTCAGAAATCAACTTTTATTAATGTTTGAATCACTGTTTACATTGAACAGATTGAAAATACATTATTGATATTGAATAAATACACATGCAGTTATAATGTAAAACAAGTATTTTTTTCTTTTAGAAGATAATTTTTTTACTCAGGTGAATTAATCAATGAGTGATGGTTTTCTCTTAGAAGAAATTTAAAGGCTCCAGTGAAAAACTACTCAGAGAACAATAGCTATTGTATTTGTTCAATGGGACAATAGAACTGACAAAAGTTTGAATAGATTAAACAATAGGAGATGAATCTGTGGAAAATTTTCATTTGGTTCGCAATAAGTGTTACCCTTGACCATCCTTCCGTCCTTCCATCTGTCAATTTGTCCCATTTTTGTTTCAACACTCTAACTTAAGTTTTTCTCATCCAAATTTTATGAAACTCATACACCATGCTGAGAACCAAAATAAGCAGACAGAGTAAAAATTTGGGCAGTGAGGCACATACTGTTCTAGAGTTATGCCCTTCTTTCACTTCTTAAAATTGCAAAGCTTGAGCGGGGGCATTTGTATCCTCAGACACATTCTTCTTTTTTTTCCCAAATAATTTCTATTTCCAACAGGTTGGTTGAGGGTTGATATGTTGAGTGATATTAAAAAGGCTGTGTCAGATATGAACTTTTTATATACTTAAAACAAATGCTTTCACGTCCATGACCTAATACTGATTTCAGTGTCTGATTAAGCATGTGCAGCAATAACTAATATTTATATCAATAATGATGATCGATTTTATTACATATTACATTTACTCCAAATTACTACTAACCATATAATAAATAACAATCTATATTTATATTATATACATTTCAGACTGTATAAGGTATATTTGCTGCTGTATCCAATATAATAACGATAGCTGTAGGGTCTGACGTATCTGAAAGTGCATTCTATAATAATGTTATTTATATTTCAGGCTGTAGGAGGTATATTTGCTGCTGTAGCCAATTTAATAACGATAGCTGTAGGGACTGATGTATCTGAAAGTGCATTCATCTTCTTTTTAATAGCCACAGGATGGACTCTTATAACAATGCTAGGATATTTATCCCTTTATAGTAATGTAAGTTTAATCAAAAACAATTCTTTTAAAGATCCTCTCCCAAAAAATATTAAATTATAAAAGACAGTGAACCAACACCTTGTAAATCTTCTTTACGAAAGAATTCCGTAAGTTGATATTTCGGTTTGCAGGGTTTTGTTATGATAAAAACATAAAATGTGAAGACTTATAACAACAACACTTTAGGGATTGATGCAGTAATTGGATTAGATCAGTATGTTTTGTTGCCTAGGGCATCTTCCTCAGGATAAAAACGATACACAGAAAAATCGCGCTGAAAGTGATAAATTATCGTCGTGACTGTTTAGGCATTAAAACATGTCTATCTCATTAAATAACGGCAGCAATCCCTATAGTGTTGTTATAGTAGTCTTCACAAAAATATATTAAGTAGTTACGATTTTATATACATTGAAATTACTGTTTTTACATCACTCATAGTATATTCCTATAACCAAGTAATATCAATAACAATGGAAAATACAGACAATTTAATTTATATACTATACATGTAAGCCTGAATTTAAAACTTCAATTTCTAATCCATATAATACAATATATAAAAATAAGGAGATGTGGAATGATTGCCAATTAGACAACTTTCAAACAAAAGACAGAAGGACAAGGATGTAAACAAATATAGGTCAACATACTACCTTTAACAATGAGTAAATTACATAACATATAAAAAGCTGAAGAAGGCCCCTACTAAATGTTGGAAAGTGTAGATTTGAGTTTTATTGTAAGGAAACCAGTCTTTCTTTTCTTCCTCTTTCTTAAGCTTGTACAAATGAGTATCATATTTATTGATAATGAATATTTATTGAAAGACCTGATAACTTGTTGTCTTATTTTTTTGCAGGAATTTTCAAGATATTATTTAAATAAACAAGGTTTGTATTTCAAAAGTTCTGGCAGTTTTGAAAAAAAATATTACTTAAAATCTTATTGAACTAGTTCTAAGACTCTAAGTGAAAAGATTTAATAGTTTAGCAATAGTTACCAATACTTGTATTAAAAATTATAAAAAAAATGTTATATCTCTATTTTTGTGGGAAAATCAATATACCAGGCCTTGCAGTCTTAAAACTTTACTCAGTACTCAGGAGTACAACATTTGTACTCAAAATACTAATCTAGTACCAGGGCTTACAGTCATAAAAGGTTCAAGTACTATTATCTGACTCAGACTCAGACATTAACTAATCAAAATACTGAATTGGTGTTTCAAGAAAATTTGTTCTCAGAGTACAATTTTATGACAAAAATCCCTATTTGATTGGTTGATTTCTCAATTTGAGATTGATAATCATACACCAAAATTTTACTACAAGGCCAGGTCTACTGTTTCACTGAAGGTCATATAATATACAACTAGTCATAAATCCTCAACAAAGTGAACAAATTACAGCTGTTTATGAAATATCCAACTGTGAAATACAGACATATTTTTAAAAGATTTCTCATGCCATAATTTGACCTAAATGAAAATCAACAGATCTGTTCATTTAATGTTATAGCATCATCTAATTTTATACAGAAAAAAAAAGCTACCTTACTTCATATGCCAATGTTAGCCCTCAGGTTGGGTTTGGCCAAAAGGTAATATGATATAGTTTGAGAGAACTAGATTTGCAGGTCTTCCAGGTGCGGGATTTTCTCGCTGCGTTGAAGACCCATTGGTGGCCTTCGGCTGTTGTCTGCTCTTTGGTCGGGTTGTTGTCTCTTTGACATTCCCCATTTCCATTCATTCAAATTTGACTTTGAGAAAATGTTCAGAAATTGTCTTGAATGTAGTTATGATTCAATTGTTAAACAAGGGATAAACATGTGGGATCAATTAATGTTATTTATGGAATTGATAATGCTATCAGAATGAAAACACTGTTTTTGAAATTTAAGATACAGTGCCCCTTGCAGTTTTTTTCTTTCAAAAACATAGCAAATAATTCTGAATTTACAGTTTTAAAAAATAAATGGCAATTTATTTATATTTGGCCGTATGGAAAATTACTTCTAAAAAATTAGAGATTGCATAATAAGATGAGATCTTTTTTAAATATTGTTTTCAGCAAATAAAGCCACTGAAACTGTGACAGTTGGGGGAGACAAATCTGTAAATAATTCATATAGTTATGAAGACGAAAATGAGAAAGAGCCTCTTATTAAAGATGATGTCATTAGTGAAAGTGTAGAATTAAAGCCTTTCTCTTATCACCATGATGTATTTAAAAAGGTTAGAAGATTTTTTAATGATTCAAGGTAAAATTCATCCTTAATTGCTCTATCACCATGATTTTTTTACCAGATAAATTTTAATTGCTACAGAAAAATCAGCAAGAATTTTTTTCTAGACAGTTTTTGAAGAAAGTCTATTGCACTGAATTCATATCAGTTTCTTATGATTCTTCTTGACTGTATATATCGAGTAGGAGCTATACAATATTTTCAAGTACTATTTTTCTACCAATCTCTAATTAGAATTTAAGTTATACATGTACTTTTTACAAATGATAATTTTAATACAAAAAAAATAAATGTCAAACTATATAAACTTTCATGCAAAGATATGACATTTGTTCTTTATTTTCAGATCTGGGTGGAGGGAATTAGTGTATGTTTGGTATTCCTAGTGACACTAGCCTGTTTTCCTGCCCTGGCATCAAGTATACAGTCATGCAATAGTGGGGACTGGAGATGTATGTCACTATTTGTTGATATGTTCTGAATTACACCCCCTGAAAACTTTTCATCATACTTTTCTTAGCTACTTGTCAAACCTTCTTAACATATGTGGGCGTATAATTAGTCAGAATTAGCTCACAGTACATCTGGATATTTTCTGTTGATAAGAAAGTAAACAATTTAATAATACTATCAAATATTCAATAAACTGAAGAAATCAAAAGCCCAAAGCATCTGAAATTTGGTTCTTATTTTTGTCTCGCCTTGACGGAGTCAGAAAGCGAGACATATGTATGCTATTTCAGGCGTCGGCAGTGGTGGGGTCAACAGTGCATTAGTTTGTGATTAGGTCTAGTTTAAGGTGAACCACTAGTGTTAGTTCAATGATGTTTGGTATGCAGTTGTATTAGCATTGGCACATCTCATTACCATGGAGATTATCTAGCCTCGCCCCCTCAGTCAAGGTCTATTGACTTTGAAACTTTGCTTAGTTTACATGTATTAGTTTGTGATTAGGTCAGTTTATTGGGAACCACTAGTGGTAGGTCAATGATATTTTGTATGCAGTTGTATAAGCATTAGCATATCTCATTTCCATAGAGAATATTAGGTCCTTACCCCTCAGTCATGGTCTATTGACTTTGAAACTTTTGCTTAATTTACATGTATTAGTTTGTGATTAGGTCATTTTAAGATTAAGCACTAATGTTAAATCAATGATATTTGATATGCAAATGTATTGGCATTTGCAAGTTTCATTTCCATGGAGATTATATAACCTTACCCCCTCATTATGGTTCATTGACTGAAACTTTTACATAGTTTACAAGTTAATGTATGTGTTTAGGTTTGTTTAAAGGGAACGACTTATAAAAAGTCAATGGTATTTGGTATGCAGTTGTCTTAGCATTGGCTCATCTCATTTCCATGGAGATTTGTTAGCCCTGTACCTTCAGTCATGGTTCATTGACTTTGAATATTTGCATAACTTACATGTTAAAGTATTGCTATTTTAATTTCATCAATTTGCATATCAAAATAACAAATAGGCGAGACATATCTCTGTGTTAACTGTTTATTTGAATTTCTACTCCATAAATTTTTTTTGACTTTTTAAGGGAAATAATGGAGAAAATGCAAGGAAATATTTTTTTCTATGCATTTATAGTTTGCTTTGATGCGACACCACAGACAATGTCTTGACAACACCTATTGTCGCATGACGTCAGAGGAGTAAAATTATAATTAAAGTTTATTTCGCATGTGAAATTATTGGTTTTTATTTCAGTGAAAAATCAAGGTAATTCATTGCAACCAATGTAGTAAATGAAAATAACATTTTTTAAATTTGGTAAGTTCAAAGCTCTTTTCTAAATTTTGTCATGCTCTAGATAACTTGTGGTTATTTCTGTCATTGGGTCTCATGTGTACCCCACATTTATTCACATAGACTGTGCATTGGAAGTTGAATCACATTTGTGGAACATCTAAATATAAGTTATATTTTAAAAATAGATTAAAATTGGTAAAATTGGTAAAACATATCATACCTGTTCCATATACAGTCAAACATGTTATATAAAGGTTAAAAGTCAACCCATGAACCAAATACATCTGACCTTATAAGAGTGGTTACCTTTGAAATGAGGTTCAAAATGCTTAACCATCAAAACAGGTGGACAAGTAAAGGATTTTTTCCCTAAAAAGAGGTGACATTTATTGCAGGGTTGACTGTATTGTATGTTGAATTAAATTGAATTATATTTAATTGTTTTCTTGTTTTTAGTAAAATATTTCACTCCTGTTATCTGTTTCCTGTTATACAATGTTGGAGATTGGACAGGAAGATCTTTTACTGGAATTGTTCATTTTGTAAGTAATTACTCAAATAACAAATTATGTACAATTTTGACTCACTGCTGCTTTCCATCAATTGCAAATATGATATGCATATCCATTGATAACATTTTAATGGGATATGAAGACACCCTGCTTTTAGCTAGTCCAACATGCTGAGTTGTATTGTTGTTTATATAAAAATAAATGTGGTATGATTGCCAATGAGACAACTCTCCACAAGAGACCAAATGACACAGAAATTAACAACTATAGGTCAACTATATGCTTGTTTATAAGGCCACAATCCACTGCAAAACAAGCCATCCTACACTCATATATTATTCTGGCTAAGAGGATCAGAGCAGTGGTCTTTCCTCCTACTCCATTTCCATGATAGAAGTGAATCACACATTTTATTATTCAACAAAATAGAAATATCTTATTAGACTCGTGTGCATAGATTTTAAATCACAAAAACCTAGTATCTAGTATCAACAAAATACAAATTGTCCTCAATCCACGAAATTGGCGCCCATATTATTATGCTTACTCACAGTAATCAAGATTTGTGGAAAAAATTAAAGCATATATTTTTTCTAAATGATTTTCCATTTATATTCAGTGAATCAGAACCACATTATATAGTACACATTGTATATATATATCTCATGAATTATTTTTTACTTTCAGCCTTGTCCAATTAAGACGAAGTTGATGTTAACATTGTCTGTAATATGTTTTTGTGTTTATAATTTCAGCCTCGGCCAAACCAGACAAAGTTGATGCTAACATTGTCTGTAATACGTTTTTGTGTTTATACTTTCAGCCTCACCAAAAACAGATGAAGTTGATGTATACATTGTCTGTAATACACTTTGTGTTTATAATTTCAGCCTCGTCCAAACCAGACAAAGTTGATGCTAATATTGTCTTTAAAACGTTTTTGTGTTTATAATTTCAGCCTCGCCCAAACCAGACAAAGTTGATGTTAACATTGTCTGTAATACGTTTTGTGTTTATAATTTCAGCCAAGGCCAAACCAGACAAAGTTGATGTTAACATTGTCTTTAATACGTTTTGTGTTTATACTTTCAGCCTCGGCCAAACCAGACGAAGTTGATGTTAACATTGTCTGTAATACGTTTCGTGTTTATACCTCTATTGATGTTCTGCAATGTAATGCCGAGACATAATACAACACTTGTGTTCAGTAGTGATATGTATCCACTTGTGTTCATCATACTGCTGGGCATTTCTAATGGTTATCTAAGTACACTGTGTGTTATGTATGGTCCCAAGTAAGTATTCTTATATTATTTCACCTGTTAATCTTTCATAACAATTGGCCTTCACTCAGACATCATCACTAAGTCTTGACAAAGTTGTTCAACAACTGGGCATGTCTAATAGTTTATCTTATAACATTGTGTGAAATGATTTTTGTTTATTTTGACCGCCGACGTTGCCGGTATTTTTATCATAATTTGAAACAATGCAAATAGATATAAGAATATGTGGTATGAGTGCCAATGAGAAAAATCTCCATCCAAGTCAAAATTTAAAAAAGTAAACCATTATAGGTCAAAGTACGGTCTTCAACACGGAGCCTTGGCTCACACCACACAGTAAGCTATAAAGGGCCCCAAAAATGACTAGCGTAAAACCATTCAAACAGGAAAACCAACGGTCTAATCTATAGAGAAACGAGAAACACTTATGAACCACATCAACAAACGACAACTACTGAACATCAGATTCCTGACTTAGGATAAGTGCAAACAAATGCAGTTGGTTTAAACGTTTTAATAGATACCAACCTTCCACCCTTATCTGAAACAATAGTGTAACATCACAACATAGAAAGACACACTATAACTTCTTATTTCTATTTGTAACATATGGTCCTAAGTAAGTATATTTAATACCTCTATCCAGTTACTTTGTCACAAGATGATCCCATCACTCAGACACAACTTATGACATACGATTTCACTAAATTGACTTTTCTACTGAGTACTCAGTTTGTAATGTAAAGTCTTAAGTAAGAATCTGTATATTGCTTCAATAAATTGGTCATTTTCCAGTCACTCAGCCACAACATGAAAACATACTCCTGTTACCCTCCAATCAGTTTCTTGTCATTATAATACTAGGCATTTTTGTGTCATGATTCAGTGTTAAATTTAAGTCCTTAGTAATTATATCAAATATAATAACACCCCTCTAGCTTGATTTCAACACCCATCTATCATTTGGTCACAACATATGCCAATCATTTGCAATAACATAACTTTGTATGGGCCTTAAGTACATGTAAATTTTAATGGTTTACATTGTGTTTTATGTTTCGTCTAAAGTAATAACATACTCATGCTACTCTTTTTACAAAATATGCTGTAACTGAAATTTATCTTAAGTTGTACTGATATGTGATTTATATTGTAATATTCTTAGTGAAAATTGCTGCTTTTGCTTGGTTACAAATCTGTTCAATTTCTAATTTAACAGACATTTCTGTTGTTAATATCACTATACTGTTTTATGTATGGTCTCTGTGAGCAAGTATCTGATAACAACTTCCCGTCACCTTGTTACAACACAACCATCATATTTGACCTTGACTCACTTAGCTTTATACCCAATGAACATTTGAAATAATTGTAATAAATAATCTTGTTGGTTGGTGAAACATTTTATTGAGTGTGGCAATGCATTTATTATAATATGTTGTATATTTCTATTTTTAGGAAGGTATTCCCTCAGTATGCAGAGTTTACAGGAGCTACAATGTCTGTTTGTATGACTGTTGGGTTAGCATTGGGATCATTGTTTGGACTGTTACTAGTGAAAATAGTGTAAAGTCTCCTGTGTTAAGTCATGTGTCAAATGTTTGTCTTGTTTTTTTTTAAATGGTTTTCATCATTTGTCAAGCATTTGGCACATATGACAAACATTTTCCATTGTGTGTCAAACATTTGTTCTTGGTCTGTCAAGCATTCTTATAAATTATGTCCGGAAATGATTTGTACGATGATTTGGACAGTAGACAAACTGCAATCAGGTCATCTTTTCTTAACTGAAGAGGCTATAAAGTCTTAGAGATATTTAAGCATAAAGAATGCATGGTATTAAGTTTACTTGTATGTACCAGCAAAAAAAGGCATCTTATATGAGTAAAGTTTAGTGTAGTGATCATTTTTAAATTAAGTGCTTCCTTGAATTATATAAATATTTACATTTCTGACCTTTTTATATGGCTTTTAGAACGAATAATAACCATCTCTATAGGGAGGTAGACTAACTGGAGTCTCCATAAAAAGCAAATTGGAAATTGTTGAAAATGTTGGTGACTTGCACATACGAACTGACTAACAAATCATGTGGTATGAAAAATAATTTGACCAGGCCTTTAGCACTGGTGTAGTCATATTACCATTTGTTTAAGTTAATTTCTTAATCATAGATGTAATAATTCAAGTTTTTATTCTGCCAATAGCTCAACTAAATACTCAGGTTGTTTTGGTGTGTACTTTTATAGTTTGAATTTATGTAATAATTACAAAAATGTATAAATTATAAAATATACATCATCTGAGGGTGCTTATCTGATTGGGTATATCTAATTAACACCATGATATTATAGTTAATGCACAATGATAGCATTCAATAATATAGATGCGAGGTCTCCCTGGAATTGATCTTATTTAAGGGTTAAGCATGATGATAAATGCAGAATATCCTAAAGCATTTATTTGCATCAAATTAAGATATTTAATAGATCTGATATCATATATCACAGCTTTCTCTATGTTATCTAAAAGAAATATATTTTGGTTTTCTCAAAGTTTGGGTTACCATATGACATATTCTCATGTATTACCCATTAGATATTAATTTAACAGCATCAAGATAGATGCTTGCTCAAGCTTATCAAAATTAAGTGTCATTTGTTTGGTACTTTTCATACTCAAACTTAATTTTTATTTTGTTATTATAATTATTATTATTTTCTTCTACTTTATAATATCCTACCATTTTTTTGTTTTGGTTGAAAGATCTCTGAGGTTTATAAAATACAAACCTTACATATATACAAACTATTTTTTGCAAAAGGAGACAACTCTTGAAAATTCTTTATTAAGGGGACAAATTTAGCAAATTCATAGTTTCAGAATCTAATGCATGCTGGGTAAATTTGCAAAAACCTACCAAGAGTGTGTGATGAGTTCATGACATACTGAACAAAAGATATCAAACTAAAAGTGTGTTGATGTTGATATTTACATTTTTGTATGGAACAGTGGAATTACCGAAAAGCCCTTTGGTTTCTTAAATCGCAAAATTTGTCTTCCTTTTAAAGAAATTGCCTGAACTACAATTATAGTTTTCATAACAAGTCAGAATTTGATATCTCTTAATATCAACTCGAGTTTTTTAATTTCAATATAATAATAAAGAGCCTCTGGTGAGTTTATTTATGATTAATATCTAAATTGAATAACGAGAGTTGATATCAAGCGATATCCAATTCTCACAAGTTGTTAAACCTATTTTTCTTATGGTCAACACTCTCGTTGTATTTAATTAAAAATTCCACAAATAGTTGATCTAGTCTCTTGCACATTCAAGTATGACGTCATATGTCCTGCTCCAGTGTCAAACCTTAACATCTGACATTTTAAAACTTCAGAATGTTATAAAATTTGACAAAATGAAGAATTTCTGTTGAAAAGTGTGAGTGTTTAATTTAATTTTGAAGAAATCACATATTTCTGTTGCCATGGACGAAATATACATTGTCTTAACCTTTGCAAGTCATCAATGACCAAACGAATAGCCAATGGAAATATCGTAATATTGTCTCATAATGTTTGATAAGCCAATCAAATTAATGCATATTTTCGTATCACTTTTTAGTTTCACACTCCCTACAGTGTGATACGAGAAATATCTCTTCATGCAAGAAATAGATAACAAGCCACAACTATAAGAGAAAACTATAAAGAGTATGTTTCTTCTTATATAATTACTGTATATTTCATAGATCTGTGATATAGTCATCTGCCAATATATTTATAATAAAAAAAGATGTTAATGATTTTAAACTGAATGAATCAAGGTGAAATTAGCTTTAGAATTATGTTGTTTGTTATTACTGATTTGTCGACACTACAATATATCAATATAAAATTGGGGTTTAAGTAAACTGTAAATATACTAAAAATGAAAATCCTCATTCATTTAAAGCCATATACAAACTGTATTACATATGTAGACCTAAATTAATTGACAACTGACATGCTTCTTGTCATATGGTTTTGTGATTGTCCTGTCATGTGATAGCCCATGTGGTTATTTCCTGTCATTTGTCAGCACTGGTGGTACTTATCTTGTGATTTTTAACAAAGAAGCAAACTTTAGTATTATAAACAAAGTACACAGTAAAATAATTAAGTTGTAATTGAACATTTATTCCCCTGTTTATTGTATTTTCCTGCTCTTTATGTAATCTGAAGATTTGTCCACATATACTTTCCAGATTTATATCAGCATGCTGAATTTGTATTTTCAATTTAGATTTATAATAAAATGTTATATGTTTATAACTGTGTTTTATTTGCACAATATTCAGTATTTCATTAAATAATAAATGTATAAGGAATTGGGTTCATTGATTTCGATGTCTGACTGCATAGCTCAGAGCTAGATTAATGTGTCTATGTATGGGATATGTTTTTTTGATGAATTTCATTTTTAAGTTAGGAAGTTAAAAATTCAATTCAGCATGTCAGTGAAATACTAAGCAGGGTATATTCTTTTTTAATTATGCATCTTAAATTTGCAGCTGGATACTGAATAGTCTTTAATCAATGAAGTGTTACGTCCAGAAGAAACTACTAAATGTACATCTATTTGATTGAAAGACTGTTTCATATTACCAAGAATTGAATTTTCCTACTCTTACATTTGATGTCAAACAAAGATTTGTACATCCAGGGGAGTATGAGATGTTTTCCAATACAATTTGGTCACTCTGACCTACATTACGAGCTTGATTACCTTTGGTTACGTTGTATATCGAAGTAAAATCCTTTTTGGGATTCTGTTTCTGGATCGATTTTCTGATTTGCCCGACTTTTGAGGATGAAATTGCTATGGATAGAATCCAAAAAGGGATAGATCCAAGTGCAGTATCCAGATATTATATAATTTTATGTAAGTATGCTTACAGGTGGGTAAGTCGGGTAAGTCATTCTGATCTACATTTCACTCTAAAAAGGCGTTGTTTACATTCTCGTTCTTTGTATGTAATTGTACGACATCTTATTTCTATATTGGTAAAGATTTTTAACGTCCGAGCTCATTATTAAGATACTAAGTGATTAACTTTTATATATTGATAATGTTGTTAATGAATAACAGTCCAAAGCCACCAATGGGTCTTCAACACAGCGAGAAAATCCCGAACCTGGAGGCGGACTTCAGCTGTCCCCGAAACAAAATGTGTACTAGTTCAGTAAAAATGGACGTCACACTTAACTCAGAAACATATGGATGATCTAAAATTAAAAAAACATACAAGACTAACAAAGGCCAGAGGCTCCTGACTTGGGACAGGCGCTAAAAAGCGGCGGGGTTTAACATGTTTTGTGAGATCTCAACCCTCCCCCTATACCTTTAGCCAATGTAGAATAAACAAACACACAACAATACGCACAGTAAAACTCAGTTTAAAAGAAGTCCGAGTCCGATGTCAGAATAGGTAACAGAAGAAACTAAGGAAAATGACAATGATACATAAATTAACAAAGGACTACTAGCAGTTACTAACATGCCAGCTCCAAACCTCAATTAAACTGATTGAAAGATTATCTCTTCATCATATGAAAATCAAGTACAATTCCTCCCGTAAGGTGTTTAGTATCATTCCATCATAAAATATATGAGAGTCATGCCAACAACTGGTTTTAGAATAAATGTATTTATTTCCGATGCAAAGACCCTACCCTATTGAGTGAATCAATATTAATTCCAAAATATGCCATCTTTAATGACCTGACAACAGTATCGTAACTATATCACTTTTGAAAAAGTTTGTTTAATGGTTTGGTTAGCTTTTGATGTGAATGGCGACATTTTTGTGCTTTGTATAGAATATTACCATAAAAGATTGGATGTGAAATACCTGAACGTATAAGATGTCTGCATGTTGATTTATATCTATGAATGATGTCCTTGTACCGATGATAAAATTTAGTAAATGTTTGACTAGTTATGATTTCGAAAACCTTGGTGTAATAATTTTTCAGTAATACAGAGATTTCTTTCGTTAAAATCAAATACGTTGTTACATACACGAGCGAATTGAACGAGTTGAGATATAATATAAACACCATAAGATGGTAACAAGGGAACGTCACCATCTAAAAATGGATAATTAACAATAGGAAATGAAAAACCATCTCTTTCATGCATATTTACAAGCGCGGGCATCTGTGGCCAATAGACACATTCTCTCTTTATTTTAGCATATTTTCAAAAGTTTGCATCTTAACAAATGTGACCACAACTTCATGGTGAAATACGTTAAACCAAAACTTTAAGCAGATATGAGACGAACAAACGTACGGAAAAACGGATGAACACACATACCAGATAGCATCATAACCCCTACTACTATAGGAGGGCCACAAAAAGGTCTGCAAGTAGTTCTTGGTCGCTAATGTTATTCTGTTATTTTCTTGACTTAAGTTTCCACTATATAAAGGATTAGTATTGACACATCAACACAAGGTAAGCAATACTGCACAAGCTCTATCAAATATTTAGTTTCTTTGTTATAAGTTTTGAAATCAATTACTATAAGCAAATTACTTATTTTCATCAATGAAGAAAATAGCGGGTTATGATCAACTCATTCTGTGAATTTCTGTTTTCAGAGTGAAACTTGCATTACACATTGGACTTTTAATCTGCAATGATAAATTAAATCTTGAATAGTTATTCACATTAGCAAATGATTTAGATATGCCATCATTCACTATGATTACATTTATCTGACTACTGAGGTCCTGCAGTACAAAGTTAAAAACAAGATCGTCAAAATTTTACTTGTTTTCTCCCAAGTGGTTTATTTTAATTTATTACATTGGTTGCAATGAAATACCGTGTTCTCCATGTAAAATGAACGCTATAATTTCACTCCTCAGACATCATGCAAAATTAGGTGTTGTCAAGACATTTTCGATGACTTAACTTCAGCACCAATTGAAAATGCATAGAAAAGGATATGGTTCCTTGCATTTTCTACTTAAATTCCATTAAAAAATCCATGGTCAATAGAATTAAAAGAATTCAAATATCGAAAAATATTCCCGTCTTGACCAAAAAACACTGATACTTATGCACATCCCTGAATTAATGAGTTGTTCGGTCACTTGGTGAATATTTTCCATATTTGAATACTTAGATTAGTTATCCTATTTCTAATTTTATGAAGAGCTGCTTTGAAAAATATCTGGTTTTGAAACCATATTGGCATGGTTGGAACTTGGGCAAAGTCACCTGAAGCAAGGTGTTTATTCTGAGCTACTGTGATTTCTAAGTATTTTTTAAGATAATTCTAGATTAATCAGAATAAACTGATAATTTCAAAGAAAAATATAAAAATAACTGAACACTTGCATGAGTTTTATAATAAATAAAAAAACTAAAACAGAATGAATTATATATTCATAACATATTTCACATAAAAAACTAAAGTGTAAACCCGACTTTAACAGTATTGATGTTGTCAGGGGGGTAGTGGTGTGAACAATCCACTTATCAGAGGAATATAAGATATAAATATCTTTAATCATACGAATACATGTATATTACATATCATCTTAACATATACCGACCTTGAATTATATAAACTTTTATTTAATATTTATATACTGATCTTCTTTATTTGGAATCTCGTTTTTTGTCGAGCCTTCGACTTTAGTCGAAAAAGCGAGACATAGCGATCCTACATTCCGTCGGCGTCGTCGTCGTCGTCGTCGTCGTTGTCGTCGGCGGCGTCCACAAATATTCACTCTGTGGTTAAAGTTTTTGAAATTTTAATAACTTTCTTGAACTATCCTGGATTTCTACCAAACTTGGACAGAAGCTTGTTTATGATCATAAGATAGTATCCAGAAGTAAATTTTGTAAAAATAAAATTCCTGTTTTTCCGTATTTTACTTGTAAATGGATTTAGTTTTTCTGCCAGGAAACATTACATTCACTCTGTGGTTAAAGTTTTTAAAATTTTAATAACTTTCTTAAACTATCCTGGATTTGTACCAAACTTGGACAGAAGCTTGTTTATGATCATAAAATAGTATCCAGAAGTAAATTTGTTAAAAAAAAAAATTCATTTTTTCCGTATTTTACTTATAAATGGACTTAGTTTTTCTGCCAGGAAACAATACATTCACTCTGTGGTTAAAGTTTTTAAAATTTTAATAACTTTTTTAAACTATCCTGGATTTGTACCAAACTTGGACAGAAGCTTGTTTATGATCATAAGATAGTATCCAGAAGTAAATTTGTTAAAAAAAAAATTTCATTTTTTCCTTATTTTACTTATAAATGGACTTAGTTTTTCTGCCAGGAAACAATACATTCACTCTGTGGTTAAAGTTTTTAAAATTTTAATAACTTTCTTAAACTATCCTGGATTTGTACCAAATTTGGACAGAAGCTTGTTTATGATCAAAAGCTAGTATCTAGAAGGAAATTTTGTTAAAACTTGTACCTGTTTATCTGTATTTTACTTATAAATGGACTTAGTTTTTCTTCCAGTTAACATTAAATACAGTCTGCAGTTAAAGTTTTTAAACCATTTATTAGATTCATAAACTATCCTGGATTTATACCAAACTTTGTCAGAAGCTTCTTACAATCAAAAGATAGTATCTAAAGGAATATTTTTATTGATTTTTTTCCTCATTTTTGTTGAGCCTGCGATTAACAGCAAAAGTAGGCGAGACACTGGGTTCCGCGGAACCCTTACGAATTTTTCCACTTGCAGTTTAAATATTGTTTACATTATATTTTATGTTTTGGGAAAAGGTTCATTGTCGCCATAAAATGTCTTCAGCTATAGATGCTTGTTATTTCTTTTCCATTAGAAGACCACCCACTGTTTCTTTGTAAACTATAATTGCAAAGTGCGTGGGTAAATTTTTGTGAAAAGTGGTGATATGGGATCCAGGAGAAAGATTTTAAGATATAAGGACTTTGAATATACTGCAATCATATTTTGTACGTCATGTTTTCAAATAAAATACGTTTAAACTAAAAATGGGTGAGGAAAGGGATATTTATTAGATTGATAAATCTATCACACAGATAGAAACATTCTACATCATCGGAAATGAACCACACTTGCTTTGATAATTCTCCAGCAAGAGTGAATTTTCATATAATCAACTTGTGTGTATTGGAATATTAACCATGAGGAAATTTAGAATTAACACAATTAATATCAAAACATCTCAATTTTTATCTTCGTCTATTCAGCTGTACCTATGAAAATATACATGAAAGCTTCATCTAAAGATGAATATCTTAAAAA